TTAACTTAATCCCTCTATTATCAAAGATAATTTGACTCAAATGAACATTCGCACAAATAAGAATTCCCACTTCAAATCAAACCATAAACTCATAAATATTTCAAAATGTAAATAACTAAGGAAATTGAATTCAAAAATTGAACACAACAATTCAGCTGTATCTTAATTTATAAATGATTCAGAATCACATGCCTCAATGTCAGGAACACAAGGAAATTAAAATGCATCAGATGCATTGAGATCAATGCATCAAATGTAGGCAGTTTGAATCAAATTTTCCCCCTAAACTCCAAGCAATTTTCAATTAGACCCTAACATAAAAACAGAAAGATAAAAAATTGAACTTGACTGTTTAAGATTATCATTATGATATCAAAAAACAATCCATTTTTTTCTTCACTGTCCTATAGCAGAAAACAGACCATGAATGAAGATCCAACAATCCATAGTCAAAGCATCCATCACAAAACAAGGCAGAAAATTCAGCAATTTTTAATGGAAAACACTACAATTTCGAAAGGGAAAAAGAAAATTCAGCAAATCTAAAGAAATTTAAAAACCCATTTCTTGGTATTTACCAAAAAAAAGAAACCAACCACTACAAAAAATTAGGGATTATTTGTATTTACGATATGGAGATGGAATGTAAAAGAAGAGATGAGATATGGAGATGAATAAATACTTACGATCGATTTGGGGCTTCAATTAGGGATTTAGGAGAGGAACTGACGATTTGGGGTTGTTGACGATCTTGACTTTGATGGTGGAAGGAGTGAGTGAGAGAGATGGTGATGGTGAGTTGGTGACTGTAAGTGAAAACTGAAGAAGGAAGATGGAGATGGTGAGGTTGAGTCGTGAGTTTGTGACTGTCGTCTATCGAGTGTCGAGCGAGAGAGACTGAGAGAGTTGAGTTTGAGTGTCTGTCGAGTGTCAAGCGAGAGAGACTGAGAGAGTTGAGTTTGAGTTAAATTAAAATCGTGTTTGTAGGGTTATTTTAAAAATCAAAACAACGTAGTTTTAGTAAAATCCGGATCGGATACGGATATCCGCATTTTTAACAATCCCGATCCGGTATCCGATCTGAATATTCAGATTTTCTAAAATTATGATCCGTATCCGATCCGAATTTTTGGATATTCGATTTTTTCGGATCGGAGCGGAGCGGATCAGGATCAGATATCAGATATCAGATTTTTTTTAACAGCCCTAAGCACCCATGTGTTACACTAGGTTGTCACCAAACAACCTTGACAAGTGAGATCAGTCATTTCTTTTCGACAAGGTCGTTCAATACTATGGTAACCTTACCATATTATCTATGTCCTTACTTCAGAATAATACTAGGGCTACGAACGTTTCTAGAATGGCCACCATATAAGCTCATAGGGTTCTCACTATCAAGATTTGAAACACTTGATACCCTTGTCATGGTTCTACTATTCTAAGGACATATATCAATACATACAATAATGATTTGCGCGATATAGAATAAAATGTATTTTTATTGATCAATGACCATTATTATAAAGAGTCAATTCTACAATAATTGATTGGCTCTAGGGCACCCACTCTAATAGGTCTTTAGTTCCAAATCCCAAAGACTAGAAATTGGTTGAGTGTAGATGGCTATTCAAGCTTTAAAAAGGTATAAACTTTTATGACCCTCCTGGGTGTAAGGCTAGTTGGTAGCCAAAGGCTACACACAATCGGAGAGAATAGATTTCAATGAAATATTCTTTCCTGTTGTGAAATACAAGACCATTAGGAATATGTTAGCCATAGTTTCCCATAAGGATTTAGAATTAGAACAACTTGATATTAAGACTGCATTCTTGCATGGCAACTTAGAAGAGAGGATTTACATGAGACAGCCCATTGGTTTTGTAGATAGGAACCTGCCTAATCATGTGTGTCTACTGCATAAGTCATTATATGGACTAAAACAGTCCCCTAGACAATGGTATAAGCGATTTGATGCATTCATTCTTAGTATTGGCTTTAATAGAAGCAAGTATGATAGTTATTTTTATTATGCACTCATTGATGGCATGCCTTTGTATCTCTTGTTTGTATGTTGATGACATGCTTTTAATTTGCAAGTCTAAATCCAGGATAGAAGAGTTAAAGAAAAAAATAAACTCTGAATTTGATATGAAAGATTTAGGGTGTGCAAAAAGAATTCTAGGTATGGTCATAGATAGAAATAGAGACAACCATGAACTGAAAGTCCACCAGAACTCTTACTTGCAAAAGTTAGTGCCTAAGTTTGGTATGACAGGATCCAAATTCGTAACTGTACCCTTGGCTGGACATTTTATGTTAAGTAAATTGCAATGCTCTAAAATTGATGCCGATTTAATAAAAATGGAGAATATCCCCTATGCTAATGCAATCGGGTCAGTCATTTATGCCATGATTAGCACAAGACCTGACTTCTCTTTTGCAATCTCCCTCATAAGTAGATTCATGTCAAACCCTGGTTTTGAACATTAGCTTGCCTTTAAATGGCTGCTTAGGTACATTAATAGCTCCTTGAATGTTGGATTGGAATATTGTAAAAGTTATGACTCATTTGATCTTGTAGGCTTTGTAGATTCTGATTTTGCAAGTGACAAAGATACAAGGAAGTCAACCACATCATACTTCTTTACTTTGGGAGGAAATTGCGTGATAGAACAACAATTGGCTGAAGCTGGAAGTCCCAGCTTCAGCCAATTGTTGCTCTATCCTCAACTAAGGCAGAGTATGTGGCTGTGGTTGACATTTTCAAAGAAGCTTTATGGCTTCAAGGGCTGTTATCAGAGGTTGAGCTACTTGATATGATAGTCACTAGCTATTCAAACAGCCAAATTGTCATACATTTGAGCAAGAATCCAGTCTACCACTAAAGGACCAAGCATGTAGATATGAGATATCATTTTGTGAGAGATCTTGTGGATAAAAGTGTGATCAATTTGAAAAAGGTGGCAACAGAGGACAATCCTACAGATATGGGAACAAAGGTGGTCACCCCAACCAAGTTCAAACACTGCTTGAACCTGCTACATGTCAAGTGAACGTCAGTAATAGAGTTGTGAAGAGTTATTTGTGGGTAAGCTGCACTAGTGAGTTTTCGTTGGAACTTATGGTGTTTTAAAGCTTTAAGGTAGAGATTGTTGAGTGAAGCTTTAAAACAAATCTACCTATATGCTGCCGTTTTGAAGACCATTCAAGTATTGATCTCAGCCATTGATTTCAGTCTGATCTAATGATCCCTAGCAGTCCAGTCCAGCAAGTCAAACTGTAAAACAAGAGAAGATTGACAGATTTGAACAGTGCATTTCATTCCTCTTTCGCAATAACATTGCTCTACTAGGGTTCTTCATTTGGGTTTTCTCAAATCTTGTAATCAGATCACAACTTTGTAATTGTGGGTAGAAGAATAGGGTTTCTTTGGGGTAGAGAGGCTAGGTTTAGGTTCTCTCTAGGATTTACAATTACGGGTCGATTTGAGGGATTATTGTTAGAAATTCAGGTATTGAGTGAGTTGGTTTGTAATCTTGTACATTCTTGATCTTTATAGTGCAGTGAGCCCCAAATTACTTGAAGCTCAACGTGGATGTAGCTTATTCCATTGGAATAAGTTAACCACAGTAAAAATCTTTGTGTTCTTGATTTCTTTCCAGTTTGATTCATGTGTTGTGTGTGTTGGTTTGTTTGATAGTGGAATCAGTTAGGATTGAGTTTGATTTAAACCCAACAATAAGATTATAGTCTTGTAAAGATGAAGAATAAGTGTATTTTACTTGGGATGATTTTGTTTGGATATATATAAATCAAATCAGAACAATGCAAAAATCGGTTAAGCTATAGGAAAAAAATCAATAAAGATTGACTCATAACCAGTGATTAGAAACCCAACTTGTATAGTGACCCAGCCTAGCCACCGAGTCCCAGGTTGAGAAGTTTGATCGGTGTTCAAAGGTTTGAAATCTAACAAAAATACTCCTTAAAATTACATGTAAGTCCCTATAGGTTTGAAATCTTGAAAAACACCCAAACACCACAGTTGACATCAACAAATAGGGCCTATTTCCAGCGATGACAACACTCCCCATCAGCACGAAAGCACTCCCCTTAGCCTCCTGACCAAAACCCATCTCACCCTCCCCCGCTTGCTTCCCCAATTGCCGACAACATTGAAATTTTTCTGGCAACATTGTTTTGCGATTTCTGATCAATTAACTCATTGGAATTCGACACCTTTGCCACCATTCCACTCATCGTCTATTTCTTTTCAAAAGCCCCAACATTCCAGCCTTCAATTGTTCATGAATCGATGTCCTAATTTCTAGAGTTTTGAATGAATAGGTAAATTTGTAACTCGACTCAATGAAGGCTTTGGGTCACGGTTTAATCGGTTCAACCAACCGAGCTAGGCCAAGTTCCTAATCACTACTCACAACCCAATCTTACAAATTTTCTCTCACAATTTCAACATGACAGTTTATAATTGGTCAGCTCGTAATTGAGTAGGTGAGATCTATTGTTGGGCAGACATAACTCATTGCGAACTGCCGCGTCGAGGTTTTGAGAAAAAATTTATAAAATTGGGTTGTAAGTATATGATCAAATCCACGCTAGCTACTATCTTGTATCTTACTTTTTTTTTTTTTTAATTTTATGAAAAATCTTATTTATATATTGATTGTTTTTTCTATTTTCAATCTTTTATTAGAAGAAAAAATAATCAAAGAAAATTTTATTAAGGAAAATCTTTCCATCCAATCAAATAAGAAGATACGAGTGCCACGTTTTAATGTTTGAACGTTGTAAACCAACTTTCGTCAAATTTTTCCCACGGCGGGAAAGTCCCCAAGCAAACTAGAAGAACGGTTCGTTAGGATTCAAATTGAGAGTTCAAGAAAAAAAAATTAAATTAAAACAGAAAAGCTTAACTAAAGCACTAAGCAATAATTACAAATAATTTATACGAGTTTCTGAACAATTTACAGTCGATAATGGAGCTGCTTAAGTTGTCCAAATTCAAGCTCCAGCTTCAAGCCCTAATCACGGAAGCTCGACATCTCAGAGTAAACTTTTTCCATAATTTAACTGTCTCTTATCTCTGTTATTATCTAAGTGATTCACACTTTTTTTTTTAAATAATAATTAGGAGAGAGAGCGCTTGGCGACTGAACAAATTCAAGTTTTAGTCCAGGTTAAGTGTTTTCAATTTATTTATTATGTGTTTGATTTCTTTTTCTGGAAGATTGACTTGCGTTTCGATACAGAAACAAAAGCAAACCGAGGAGGAATATTCTAGAAAGTTACAGGAATTACAAGCGGAATTAACTTCGTCTAATGAATCTCGTCAAAAACTTGATAGACAGGTTTCTGAATTTCGTAGTCCAAGTCTTTGTCAGAATGCTTGTTAATATTTTATTTTGGTTGTCGCTGTAGGTGAGTTTCCTTCAAAACGACAATGCATTGCTTGAAAACAAGCAAAAGGAGTTGAAGGAAACTATTAATAGACTACTTCAGTCTAGGGAAAGTTTCCTTAATGCTTACGAGGTTTGTGTTTAATGACAGTTGTTCTGAGTTTCACATCGTTATAGTCTTATAGAGAACTTGAAATGTGTGTTAAACTAGTCAGCATTCAATAATAACATGTTATGCGTCTGATTCCATTTTCTAGAAATTCCATTCGGTGATGTAATTATTTTGAACAGGAATCTACTTGTGATATGAAACGTTCAATTGAAACCAGAGACAGAAAGCTCAGTGTCCTATATGAGAAGATAAACTCTCACTTGACATTATTTGATTCAATAGAAAAGGAGGCATTCTCCATTAAGCAACTCGTGGATAATGCGGAACGCCTTGTGAGTGAAAAAGAGGAAGTAGGCATGTAGTTTATGAGTTTTTGCTTATTTCAGGTGTACGCGTGTCTGAATTTTCAGCATAAATAACTCATCAGTTTATTGAAGTTGCAGTATAATACTCATTTAAACTCTGCTGTTTTCAGTTGCTAGCTTGAAGAGCAAAATGGAAAAGGTCTCTTCGTTTGAAAAAGTTTTTGTTGGTAATTCCCCTATCCCACTGCCTGCCTCAGTTACCTTTTTATTCTATGAAAATGTTATGTGTTGCTTTAATGAATGTGCGTGTATAATTTATCTTTTTTATCAACTCTGCAATGACACTTGTTGATCATATGATTGCTTGAGATTGTGGGAACTTGCAGAATGATTTATTTTGAAAGTTACTTGCTATGGTTACACCAAATACTAAAAATTTCACATTAAATTTAACAACTCTTAACTTACATCAGTCCGGAATTCAGGATAATAACACAATCAATGATCTACATCTAATAACAATGTTCTTGAGTTATATATTCTCTTGACAATGTAATTGTTTGCATAATATTAAATTCCGAAAAGAAAAATTGTTTCATTACTTTTATGTCATATTATGCAGAAAAGATTTCTCTCCTGGAAAGTAAACTTAAAAATGACGAGGATGAGTTCAGAAGAAAGGATAAACTTATTTCAGAACTAGAAGCTGAGCTGGAAGCAGCAAAAGTTAGTAATGACTGCCAAAGTCAAATTGAAGAGATATCCAAAGAAGCATTGAAAAAAATTTCTGTTCTTTTTATTATAAAGAATCAAGTTACACTGTCAGCTTAAGCTATTTCTTAAATTTGTGAGCTTAACCGGCCTTACCTTCAGAAAACTGTATCAGCAAAGGATATTGTCATACAGAATCTGATCTTTGAGAAAGAGGTTTGAATTTACAGTTTTTGATGTTCATTAGACTTCTGCATGTTTGTGTTTATGGTTCTGTAATCATATGTTCAACTACATTATAATCAGGCATTGCATTTGGAGGTGGGGAGTTTGGGAATTCTTTTGCAGAGAATTCATGATGCTGTTGCTAACATGAATCAAGAGGTCAGATGAGGTTTAGATTTCTGGCTTTTGATATTGCAGTCTTTAAATTAACAGCGGCTCTATGGTTTTATTCTTAAATCTCATGACACTTTTATTACTGTAATGAGCCCTTTTAATCATGGAAAACTTAATTAATGATGTCTATCTTGGCCACGTTAATGGTTGAGAGGGAACTTACATTCTGATGGCATACATCTATTTGTAAATTCATCTTTTAAGTCTAACAGAAAATCCTTTCAGCAGATTGGGTGATTTAATTTTTCAATGTTATATCTGTCTTTTGATTTCACCTCTTGATTTCAATTTGAGACTTGTTATTCTTCTTAACAAGTTTTACTTAAAAATATTCTTGATGGATCTCCTATTGAAGCACCTTTTAATTCTGTTGGCTTTATTACTCTAGTAACTTCTTGTGCCACTGATCTGCTTGTTTATGTGAGAAGTAATTGTTTTCTAATCCAGGATAAGAAGGTATTCCATAAAATGTTAGTGGTTAAAGAAGAATGTGACATGGGTACTCCTAATGAAGATAACAGGTAATCATATACTTCTACTCAAAATCTGGGGCTCAAGTCGTTGAATACTTTCCAACTTTTAACTTACTAGCATGCATTGTTATGGGATTTGCCACTGTTACTGTAGAAAACCAGCATTCTATGTCTTGGGTACCTTGTTGAATAAAGATTTACGCTAGATGGTTAAGACTGCCTTTCTCTGTGGATATGTCTGTGTGTGCACACAACTATAAACTGCAATCGAGTTATGTAAAAAAGAGTAATTCTGTTGGAGTTCCTAGCAAGCATACATAAATCTTGGTTCATGTTTTCCTAGGAAATGCAGTCTTGAATGGCAACAGGGTCATAAGAATATTCTATTCCTGTCTGATCTTGCCAAACAAATGGGAAATATTCACCATGACTTCTCTTTATTTCTTTATTTTTTGGTATGTACTTTTGTTCTAATATTCACTTTGTAATGGTTTATCAGAATTGTCAATGTGGAACAAAATAGTGGAGAAAGATCACCAACTAAGGTTTCCATTATAGCTGCTCCGGATAATAGAGGTTTATGGTTTACCCGTCCTTCTCTTTGTTGTTTTCTTTTGCCAGGCTTAGGCTCAGGCTTAGAGTAACTAAGTATATTAGTAGAAATTTCAGCTCTGATATTTAATCATAGACTTGACTTTATGTTTATCTTAGGAATAGGCTTGTAGATGTATTGCATGTGAACTTGTGCAAAAGACAACTAAGCTTGCTGGTGTCATAGCAGGGAAATGCATTGTTGCAAAACAATCGTTATCAAGCACAATGGTTTGGTTTAGTTAATTTATTTATTTATTTTTTCACTTTCAACAATAAACGTTGTGCCATGCTATAGCATTTTCATGGTTAAGAAAGCATCATGATGCGTATTTTCAAGTTTCCCTTCTTGAAAACAAATCAAACTATTGGCTGTGGTCATTTGAAGTTCAATGGACTGTGGAGTCCATTTTGTTTCCCATAGTAGTTGCAGGCAGAAGTTCATATTCAAGATTAAAGACAGCTTCCATGTGCAATTGTAACAATTTGAAATGTCACTCCAAGAAATGTGAATCATTGTCATTTCAGATGAATAGAAGCAAATATGCACAGCAAAACTTTCTTTTGTTTCTTATGCTTGTGGCAACCATGATTTCTAAAATTTTGATACAACGCCTTTTTTATTTTTTGGTCCTTTCTCTCTTTTGGGGGTATTTTTTGGATTTCAGGTTCAGCTTCACCAGTATGTCAAGAGTACAAATCATGCAACATCCAGTTGAGGGAGAACAATAACTTGAATTTCTGTGTGTCTGAGGTAAGTAGTTTGTATTGTATGGTTGGAGATTTAGTAGGTGAAGTTTTGAAAAACAAGTATAAACAATTTTTAAATGATTCATTGCAGTTGGCTTGTTCTCCCCCAGAGTCAGTCTCCTCAGAACCTGAATCTGCATCAAATGTTTTGAGCATTTCTATACACGATGGGAAGGTATGAGGTACTGCAATACATGACATTGATGATTTAGAGTGAAATCGATTATGTTTCTTCTATAATTTACTTGATTGGGTAAGTTTCAAACCAAAGTTTGTTATTTTAGCAAATGGCTTCAGAGATAAATTTATTTGACGGAATCTATCAACTGTAGAAAACATCCTAGACTTACTTGTGACTTAACTGTTTGTGTATTGTAACGTATAGGACAACTGCACTGTTCCAGGGCACCACTTAGATTCTGAGTGCTCAAAGACCCAAGCAGAAGCCTCAAAAGATGCAGGTTAAAATTCTAGTAAGGGATTTTACTTATTCAGTTTTGGATGCTGGCTGACATGAGAAATACTCTTAGTAACAAGATTTTAATTATTTAATTTTAGGGTTGGGAGCATGATTGTGTATAGATACTACTACCATTTGCACTATTATGCCTGAAAGCTTGTATTTGACTCTTTCTTGGTATTGCTAAGCACATCCAGATTAAATTCCTTAGTGAATACTATAGCAGCATATATTCTAATTGGCTTGAGAGTTGAATACGAATTCCATAATTGTGAACGTAATTTGGGTTGGACACTAGAGAATTATCTCATTCTGCTTACATTTCAGGCTGAACCTTGCTCTTTTTTTATTCTTCTTCTTCTTTTAATTAGAATAAACAAAACCAGATTCTTGCTGATTTCAGCCAGGCTCAGCATGAGTTCGTATTCATACATCATATTATCATAGCATATGAAGATATTTGCATAAAAGTAAACTGGAATGGAACAAAGATTATTAGGTAAATTGTCTAGAAATATCAGTCCAGTCAAAACATTGGGAGAGAAATGAAAGGCCTGTTATTGTCATCACATCGTATTAGGTAAACTTCCAACTTTCTGTAAGGGCCTTGTGTTTCGAATGTATTATGGAAATGAAGATCGCTCTATTGGACTTATTTGGCTTTTGAATGCACATATTTATGNGCTTATGAAGATATTTGCATAAAAGTAAACTGGAATGGAACAAAGATTATTAGGTAAATTGTCTAGAAATATCAGTCCAGTCAAAACATTGGGAGAGAAATGAAAGGGCCTGTTATTGTCATCACATCGTATTAGGTAAACTTCCAACTTTCTATGAGGGCCTTGTGTTTCGAATGTATTATGGAAATGAAGATCGCTCTATTGGACTTATTTGGCTTTTGAATGCACATATTTATGGTTCAAAACCAATCTCCACAAAAAAGTCATCGTGAAATTGTCAATTAAAGGTGCGTTCAAAGTCATCTTATCAGTCACTTTCACGTTTTACGAAATAAATGACAAACGGTATCTAGATAAGTTGAATACTACTCCAATGTTTGAAGAACTTAATTTTTTAATAGATCAGATTAGAATTAGACAATTTCAAATATTTCATCACCTAATTATCAAATATTAAATATAGTATAAACTGGGTCAGAGCTTGAATCTTAATATGAAACAGATTTTCGTCTTGGGAGTTGGCAATGTTGATGGGGATATAAGAGAAATGGAGGAGGGAAATTGTTTTTTTCTAGGGGCTTTTGATCTCGACCTCCAGAAGTTTTAATCAAATAGAAAACATTCTCTTAATAATATTAGAAATAACAAAAAATCTCTTCCTGTTCATCAGTTGTTAGTATACGTTTGGACTTTATATATAATATGATAGGCAAATGAATATTTACTTAACTTTCACTCTTCCGTTTACTTTAACAACAAAAAGGGTATTTATCTTATTTTTCTAACTACAGAAAAATTTATATTATTTAATTATACCTGAATATTATCATTATTAACCATTTGTTTTCAATAAAGATTTACTTATAAATTGATCAATTTCAAACTGTCTCATCAAGATTATGTAAAAATTTATGAGATTAGACTTTTACATTTTGATCTGAGAATCCAAAGCTAAGGCCATAAACAACAAGAGTGGATTGGCATTTGGTTTTGGGCCTCTTAAATTGAGAGGTTAGCATGGACGCCACGCTAGCTGAAGCTGACCGCTTCCCCAAACATGAATTAATGTATTTTCTTTCCCTGAGCCTCGTCAAGTCAGCGGAGCAATGAATACAAAATTACATTCAATTCTGAAAACCTGAAATTCAATTTCTTACTTACCTTGGCAGTAAATGAAGGCAAGTGTATTATTAAATGCCAGAGAACCCACGGCCTGTTCATAAAAGGTAAACAATTATATCAATCTATTTACAAGTGTACTATTATAATCTTTGCGCTTTTGAATGTTGAGTGTAAATACAAGGGGTAGGTTATCAATATCCACTTAACCCAGATTAAAACAAATGAGAGAGACAATTTCAAACAGCTTTTCTTCAACTTAGTCAGACTGAGGCGCGTCCAAATTTGTAAGACCCCATACATCATTGTAAGATAGCTAAAAGATAGATATTACTAACAAAGAAACTAGAACAAAATTAAAAAGACGTCAAAAAGTACGAATAGCTGGGCATGCAACGAGCGGTAGGGTCGACCCACCAAACGCTCTGGGCTTGGTGTTATCAGTGGGTTCTGCATTAAATTTTAGGGCCAGAAATTGGTGGTTTGTCACCAACTCATACTCATTCAATGCTTAATTAATTAATTATATATATATATATATAAATGGGTCAGTTTAGTTTTAAGTTTTAGGTTTAGTGTAGCCAAAGCAAGGGCAATGATGATTAGTTTGTCAAAGGCTAAACAGAATTAGACAAAGATCCGAATAATCCTGTATTAAACATGGCTTTGCAGAGATGATGATGACCCANAACAAGAGTGGATTGGCATTTGGTTTTGGGCCTCTTAAATTGAGAGGTTAGCATGGACGCCACGCTAGCTGAAGCTGACCGCTTCCCCAAACATGAATTAATGTATTTTCTTTCCCTGAGCCTCGTCAAGTCAGCGGAGCAATGAATACAAAATTACATTCAATTCTGAAAGCCTGAAATTCAATTTCTTACTTGCCTTGGCAGTAAATGAAGGCAAGTGTATTATTAAATGCCAGAGAACCCACGGCCTGTTCATAAAAGGTAAACAGTTATATCAATCTATTTACAAGTGTAATATTATAATCTTTACGCTTTTTAATGTTGAGTATAAATACAAGGGGTAGGTTATCAATATCCACTTAACCCAGATTAAAACAAATGAGAGAGACAATTTCAAACAGCTTTTCTTCAACTTAGTCAGACTGAGGCGCGTCCAAATTTGTAAGACCCCCTACATCATTGTAAGATAGCTAAAAGATAGATATTACTAACAAAGAAACTAGAACAAAATTAAAAAGACGTCAAAAAGTACGAATAGCTGGGCATGCAACGAGCGGTAGGGTCGACCCACCAAACGCTCTGGGCTTGGTGTTATCAGTGGGTTCTGCATTAAATTTTAGGGCCAGAAATTGGTGGTTTGTCACCAACTCATACTCATTCAATGCTTAATTAATTAATTATATATATATATATATAAATGGGTCAGTTTAGTTTCAAGTTTTAGGTTTAGTGTAGCCAAAGCAAGGGCAATGATGATTAGTTTGTCAAAGGCTAAACATAATTAGACAAAGATCCGAATAATCCTGTATTAAACATGGCTTTGCAGAGATGATGATGACCCAATTAATTATACAACTTGTGGACCCCTTTTCAACTTGTTTAATTACTGTCAATTTGTATGGTTGATTACTTGGATTATATCCAAATTGGGATTCTAGTGATGATTATATAGGGTTGGATTAAATTTTTTTTTTTTTTTTTTTTAAACGGAGTATTCGGTCAATTTATGCGCATCTTAATGAATCTCTGGAGTTCATTAAACACTTTATACGCCCAAAAAACCAGATAAACCATAATATTATTGTAGTAGATGACCCTAAGATTTGAACCCAAAAACTCAAGGAATTGAACAAATAAATCTCTTTGATCGTCAGACCAAACCCTCGTGTTAGTTGGATTAAAATTTCTAAAAGCAGTTTTTTATTTTTTGTTTTTGTCGTAGAAATAAAAGGTTAGTCAATCAACCTAATAAAAGTAATAGATGTAGAATATGAAGGAAAGCAATCAATACCAAACTGTTCAGTTTTGTTGAGAAAATATGAAGTTGTTTTGAGAGACTTTTAAACAAGAGAAAAGGACATTACTTGTGGGAATGGAGGGTAAATCATGGGATCCACTTCAGTTGCAAATCTCTAAATAAAAAATGGGCGTGCGACCCATCAAGGGTCCCTCTTGCTCTACTTCTTCCATAATTTTATAGACCTTGAAATATGATATTGGTTTCCATGCAGGCTGTATCTGTACTGTATCTGTATCTGTATGTATCTCTACTAATTTTGTATTCTTCTTCTTGGAACTCTTTCTCATTTGATGCGTTTGCTTTGGTTGATGGCATCTCAATCTCATGATCTTGATCATGATCGTCCATCTACTCACAACATGGGTCCCATGCCAAATCATACCCATAAATATTATACAACTCTTTGACCGTACTTTAACAATTCTCATAGAGTCCATATTGAATACTCTATAAGACCAAAAGACCAGGTGATAAGTGATTCTAATGTTTGAACAAAAAAACTCAAAAAAATAAACAAACCTCTTTGATCGGATCAACCGCTCGAGATTAGTACATAGGATGTTACCATCAGTTTTCCATAAGATATTATCCAAATCAGATCATATTTGGTTCACCTGCCTAACCAACAAAATTAAATAGTGTGATACAAGCAATGTATTTTGGTACAATCAAATGTTATAATATAGTGCCTTTTCTCTCTCATAATACCTAATTAATTACTAAATTATTTTTAATCTGAATATTTCAGAATGATTAACAAAGTAAGAGCTTTAATTACGTTTCTTGAAAGGCAAAGCAACTTTCCGTTTAAAAAGCCTCCAGAGTTGAGTGCATTAGAAATTCCAGAAATTAAAAAAAAATAAAAAAATGATAAGGTATTGTACGTTTGCATATGGTACTCAAATCTCCAAGTACCAACTTCAACTCAACGTCAGCCCACCAATCACACTGTAATTGTAGATTTGGCCGACCTCATTTTCGTTGTAATTTACCTCATTTTTTCTTGCCGTGTTGTCGTTCTTGCGCCACACACACACGCATATATATATATATTATATTTTTTTTCTGATTTGAAACAATGACGTATACAACTAAAATATGAAATAAAATTATTAAATAACCCATTTTTTTGAGGTTTTCGTTGGAAAATAGCACTATTAGACCAAAATACCCTAAAAATCTCAAAACTGATTTATCATTTCAAGCCAACAACTTCCTCATCTGTTACGTTGAATGATTTAAAAGGTTATAACGGAACGGAGGATACAGCTACAAGGGAAGGTTATAACGGAAAATGGGAACGGTTTTTAAAAGATATACAAACTTACAAAGTGAAAATAACGAACGTGAATTGTAAGCAAATAATCACCGCTACAACCACCACCACCATCGGAGAACCAGATCCACGAACAGAGCGGTGCTCGACACCCCACGACTTGGGCTAACCGTATACACCCACGTGGCAGCATGATTTTCTTGACTGAGGTCCCACTCCAGTTCTTGGAAGATTATTAGATGCCTCTACGCAGGCAATAATAAACAACAACTGCCGTCACTCCCTTGTCTTTTTATTATTTTTATTTTGGCTTGAACTTTTTTTCAATTGTAAACCTTTTTCTGCTTTGTTTTTTTGTAAATATGACTCTCTAAAACCACCTCTTCAACTTATGTTTGTTTCTTCTGTTTCTACAGACTCTGTTTATTCGGTTTCTGCGTTGAGAAATCCCATTTTATTTCTGATGCTGATTTGCTGATTGATCTTTGTGCGTGTGCGTGAGATAGACATGGGAAGTTGTGTTTCGAAGCCTGAGGGGTGTGTTGGTGGAAGATTGAGGTCCTCCAAGAAGAAGAACCGCAAGAGAAAGAAAAGAGTTGCGTCTCGCTTATCTGATGGATCACTTGAACACCCTGCGCCACTTGATCGTCGTTCATCTTTCTCTAACCCCGCTTTGCAAGGTCTTTTTAACCTCTTTTTCTTAGTGGTTTTCCAATGAAATTTGCTTCTTTTTCTTTTTTATATTTGATCAGTCTGGTTTTTACTTTTAAATGTGATATTTGATTTATTATTATTATTTTTTTTGTGTGGTATCTTGTGATATTTTCTTTTCTTTTTCCTTTTTCATTTTGGGTTTAGATTCTTGTTTGTGGAGGGTTGGCGTTGAAATTATTGTCTGGAGGTGAATTTATTTGTTGCCGTGAAATTTATGCTTCTGGAGTAGCCGAATAGGGAAGAAAGCTTTGTGGACGTATTCTTTTTTTTCTTCAATAAGTTATTTTGTTATTGGTAATGCGACCATGAGAGAGAACTCTTCGTTTGAAGTAATGTGCTGGATATCTGTCAACTGTTAATTGGCATATTCTGGTTGATCCTTATGCGAAGTGAGGTTTTCTTTGGAGGGGTTTTGTGTCTGATTAATTTTTTTGGTTCTGTAAAAATATGAGCGTGGTCACCTCATGGTACAGAATATGAAGTTTTCATTTTTACTGATGATCAAAGAATGTAGTTCTTGAAAAGCGGGGTGAACCTCAATACTGTTTAAACAGAGCAGATTTTTGGTCACTGTTGTTTATGATGCTGTACCGAGATTGTACAGATTTGAATTAGATCTTTTTTTTTTTTTTTGGTGATAATTTGAAAGATGGGGCCTGATATTTGGTAGATGGAAACGGGCTAATGTGCATTTTGTTTTTGGATATAGCTGATTCATTTCAAAGGTCCTTTCTGAGATTGTTAATATGTGTTTGTCACTCAATGGTAGTCTTGAGAGGTGGCTTTAGACAATGTTCCTCTAAAAATTTTTTGATCAAAGCAAAATAACTATTCTGGTTCATTATAACGTTAATCTGTTATGGTAAACTCATTGGGTGGTTTTGATTACTCTTTGATTGAAAAAAAGAGGAAAAAGGAACTGTGAGGTTGATCATCTTAAGGTCATCAAAATGCACATCTGACTTTGAAAAAATGCTGCTGTAAAACTCATGCCAGGATTTGACTCGTTAGCTGCCTGTTGTCTATGTGTCATTCTGGTTTTTGTTGTCCTTCATGATATTTGATGAGTTTACTTTTGAAATCTATCATACATGATCTTCCTTTAGTTCTAAATCACCATAATTTTTTCAAGCTATGAGAAAGCGTTAAACAAGTCTTCAACCAATGTTTTTGATTTAACTCCATATTAATCTTCATGTTATAAAGTTCAAAAGACATACTTTGAGTATAATCAACATCTCTGATGGATGTTTCGTTGACGCAGTTGTCAATTGTTATACTCTGTAGTGCCTAACAAACTTTTTAATCTTAAATGTTGTATCTAGATTCCCTTTGAGTTTATTGCTTCAATCATGCTTAACTTGTTGGAATTTATATTAGATAAATTACTTTTATCTATTAACTTCATAATGTATTTCTCAGTTCTTGGCTCTAGTGAAACATATATGTTGTGTCACTTATGCCTGTTCTTTAATATATTTTTTATTTTGTTACTTTTTGCGGCCTTCAGCAGGAAGTCTTGATGAAGCTTGGTTTGATACAGTTGCAAAATTTGAGTCTGATTGTGATGATGATTTTCAGAGTGTTCAGGATGGTAAGATATTTGCAGATATCAGATGTCTGTTTTATAGATGAATTTATTTTTCTTACTTTGCTGATTAATCTGTCATGTATAACTAAAAATTATACTGTGTACCTTTGAGATGCAGATGTGTTATCTCTAAATGGTTCTGAAGGACTGTCCAGATCAAGTAATGCTTCTCCAAGAGATGCTAATTATCGAGCTGACCAGTTGCTGAGACCAGGGGACTTATCAGCTGGAAATTCTGCTCGCAATTCTGTCAGTGAGGTTGGCAAAAATTCGAATATTCGGGTCTCAAGCTCTGGTAATGTTGATCCCCAATCAAAATCAGACGGGCTTTCTAACGAAGGAAAGCAACCTGTGTTCCTTGATGAGATCTCATCCTCTGTGGATGAGGGTTCTGGCAAGGATGACGGATTGTTGGATAATTGTGGGATTCTTCCTAGCAATTGTTTGCCTTGTCTTGCTTCTACTGTCCCCTCAGTTGAAAAGAGAAGATCACTAAGCTCTAGTCCACCAAGGCCATGGAAAAAGGCTGCTTCAAAACTTTCCTTTAAATGGAAGGATGCACATGCTAATGCTACTCTATGTGAGTGTTTTATACCACTTTCATTGATGGTAGTTCTTGGTGGTTATACATCTGAGCTCAAATAGAAAATTTAACTAGGATGGTACCATTATTTATTATTATTATTAGTTTTCTGTTTTGTCCTATCTTGCTTATAATTGTTTGCTATTGTATTTCAGTTTCTTCAAAGAGGCTTCTGTCAAGGCCTGTAGCAGGTTCTCAAGTACCTTTCTGCCCAATAGAAAAGAAGATGCTTGATAGTTGGTCACAGATTGAGCCAAGTTCTTTTAAAGTTCGAGCTGAGAATTACTTTAGGTTAGTCTATAAGAAATTTTGTTAATTGATTACATTTATGTAAATTTTATGTTAATTTAGTGTGCGAATGCGTGCCTGCACTTGTGTGTTATTTCAAGGTAATGCTTCTATTGAGTAATAGTAAGCATTATATTGATATGAAAGTTTCAGACTTTTTATTTGGAACTTCACCTAGCTGGTTTTCTCCTGTTTTCAAAACCCGTTTCTTCTAATTTCAGTCGGCAACAAACTTTTTATATGATAGGGACAAGAAGAAGGATTTTGCTTCTAACTATGCTGCATATTATCCATTTGGTGTTGACGTATTCTTAAGTCAGCGAAAAATATATCATATAGCTCGCTTTGTGGAACTTCCTGCCGTTAGTTCAAATGGGAAGCTCCCAACTATCCTTGTTGTAAATGTCCAGGTACCCATTGCCACTTATAAATGCTTTTATACACAAGATGTCTTTTTTTTTTTTTTTTTAAAATTAATTCATGAATGTATTGTTTTCTTTATTATGTTTGATACTGACTATTTATGGTTTCTGCAGGTTCCATTATATCCTACCGCAATTTTTCAAAATGAAACTGATGGTGAAGGGATGAGTTTTGTTTTGTATTTTAAGCTTTCTGATAGTTACGCCAAAGAACTTCCACCACATTTCCAAGAAAATCTCAGAGTAAGTTGGAGCCTTTCTAATAAATCTAATTGCCATTCCATTATTGTCTTTGGATCTCAAACTTCAATAATGGTACAACTGAGTTACTGATTGGGTCCTTGTTTTTGGTAAACATATCTTGACTGTCATGCCATGGGCTTTCAGTTCTTGCATCATTAAATTTTCCCCTTTTTTCCTACCTGAAAATGGAACTCCCTGATTTCGTTGATGTTAAAAATTTAAGATCCTTCTGTATTTACACATCTGAGTTTAGCTGATCTACAAGCTATCTGATTAATTAACCCATGTGTACTTGTGACACAGAGGTTAATTGATGATGAGGTTGAAAAGGTCAAAGGCTTTCCTGTAGATACAATAGTACCTTTCCGGGAAAGGTTGAAAATATTGGGCCGTGTTGTGAATGTGGAAGATCTTCATTTGAGTGCAGCTGAGAGAAAACTTATGCAGGCTTACAATGAAAAGCCTGTTCTTTCACGCCCACAACATGAGTTTTTCTCCGTAAGTTCATAACCAACTCATATTTATTGGTTTTGAGTGAATCTTTATGTATGTGTTTCTATTTTATGGTTTGCAAGACTTGAGTTTATATCTAACAATGTGATAATTAATGAACTCCTTTACTGTTGCAAGGAAGCTCTTTTAAAATATTAATTTGTGGAAAATATGTGCATAACCACTATCTCATGTACTGTGGCTTTTCATCACAATTTCTAGTAAGGATTTCCAAATTCTGTATCCAAGGAGAAAATGTATAGTAGGGTGGGGGGATGTTCCAGTGCTATTGTAAGAGCACATGTTCTATGTTACATTTAAAAGGAGTCAGTTGCATCAGTATTTAGTCTAGTTGGTTAGATCTCTTGCGATGGGCCAAAAGGTCTAGTGATGTAATCCTTCTCATACCAACTTTGGACAAGTATCATTTAATTTGAGTTCATATATTTGGGAAGGTTGGAGTTGCGTGCCTGGTTAAAAAAAAAATGTTTGTTTCTCCTGAAATTTGAGTTACTTGATGTGCACAGAATTTATTGATGATTCTAATATGTTTATTTTGGTGACAAGTTGTTGCTTGGTACCAGCATATCTAATCTGCTTCTAAATGGGATGAGTTTGACTTAATTACATAGTCTTTTTATCCAAGTTATCTAGGATGAATATTCAAGTTGCACCAAGGTTTTCCTCCCAGTAGATTGGCGTTATCCTGCAGCAGCATTGTGTTGTCTGACATGAAATAATTGTAGAAAAATAAAAAGGGCATTTTCTGATCATGTTCCAAAGGTTTAAGTCCACATTTGGACTGACACATTCAATATCTGTTAGCTTGTTAAATTTTAGTAGTCACTATCTCAATAACCTGAGCAAGTTAACCTTTTAGTAAATATTTTGGATGATTTGCTCTAATGTGATCAAGTCCTAGCTGCATTTGTTTGCAAGGGATACAGAAAAAAATACTGACATAGTTTTGCTATGGTCTCATTCATGGACTTTTCCTTTTAGTCTTTGGGATCACTACTTATTAGACTAACCGCCATTATTTTTGACAGGGAGAAAATTACTTCGAGATTGATATAGATATGCACAGATTTAGTTACATTTCTAGGAAAGGTTTTGAAGCATTTCTGGACAGACTGAAGCTGTGTGTCTTGGATGTTGGCCTCACAATTCAGGCAAGANTTATCCATTTGGTGTTGACGTATTCTTAAGTCAGCGAAAAATATATCATATAGCTCGCTTTGTGGAACTTCCTGCCGTTAGTTCAAATGGGAAGCTCCCAACTATCCTTGTTGTAAATGTCCAGGTACCCATTGCCACTTATAAATGCTTTTATACACAAGATGTCTTTTTTTTTTTTTTTTTAAAATTAATTCATGAATGTATTGTTTTCTTTATTATGTTTGATACTGACTATTTATGGTTTCTGCAGGTTCCATTATATCCTACCGCAATTTTTCAAAATGAAACTGATGGTGAAGGGATGAGTTTTGTTTTGTATTTTAAGCTTTCTGATAGTTACGCCAAAGAACTTCCACCACATTTCCAAGAAAATCTCAGAGTAAGTTGGAGCCTTTCTAATAAATCTAATTGCCATTCCATTATTGTCTGTGGATCTCAAACTTCAATAATGGTACAACTGAGTTACTGATTGGGTCCTTGTTTTTGGTAAACATATCTTGACTGTCATGCCATGGGCTTTCAGTTCTTGCATCATTAAATTTTCCCCTTTTTTCCAACCTGAAAATGGAACTCCCTGATTTCGTTGATGTTAAAAATTTAAGATCCTTCTGTATTTACACATCTGAGTTTAGCTGATCTACAAGCTATCTGATTAATTAACCCATGTGTACTTGTGACACAGAGGTTAATTGATGATGAGGTTGAAAAGGTCAAAGGCTTTCCTGTAGATACAATAGTACCTTTCCGGGAAAGGTTGAAAATATTGGGCCGTGTTGTGAATGTGGAAGATCTTCATTTGAGTGCAGCTGAGAGAAAACTTATGCAGGCTTACAATGAAAAGCCTGTTCTTTCACGCCCACAACATGAGTTTTTCTCCGTAAGTTCATAACCAACTCATATTTATTGGTTTTGAGTGAATCTTTATGTATGTGTTTCTATTTTATGGTTTGCAAGACTTTAGTTTATATCTAACAATGTGATAATTAATGAACTCCTTTACTGTTGCAAAGAAGCTCTTTTAAAATATTAATTTGTGGAAATTATGTGTATAACCACTATCTCATGTACTGTGGCTTTTCATCACAATTTCTAGTAAGCAATTCCAAATTCTGTATCCGAGTAGAAAATGTGTAGTAGGGTGTGGGGATGTTCCAATGCTATTGTAAGAGCGTATGTTCTATGTTACATTTAAAAGGAGTCAGTTGCATCAGTATTTAGTCTAGTTGGTTAGATCTCTTGCGATGGGGCAAAAGGTCTAGTGATGTAATCCTTCTTATACCAACTTTGGACAAGTATCATTTAATTTGAGTTCATATATTTGGGAAGGTTGGGGTTGGGTGCCCGGTTAAAAAAAAAAAGTTTGTTTCTCCTGAAATTTGAGTTACTTGATGTGCACAGAATTTATTGATGATTCTAATATGTTTATTTTGGTGACAAGTTGTTGCTTGGTACCAGCATATCTAATCTGCTTCTAAATGGGATGAGTTTGACTTAATTACATAGTCTTTTTATCCAACTTATCTAGGATGAATATTCAAGTTGCACCAAGGTTTTCCTCCCAGTAGATTGGCGTTATCCTGCAGCAGCATTGTGTTGTCTGACATGAAATAATTGTAGAAAAATAAAAAGGGCATTTTCTGATCATGTTCCAAAGGTTTAAGTCCACATTTGGACTGACACATTCAATATCTGTTAGCTTGTTAAATTTTAGTAGTCATCGTCTCAATAACCTGAGCAAGTTAACCTTTTAGTAAATATTTTGGATGATTTACTCTAATGTGATCAAGTCCTAGCTGCATTTGTTTGCAAGGGATATAGAAAAAACTACTGACATAGTTTTGCTATGGTCTCCTTCATGGTCTTTTCCTTTTAGTCTTTGGGATCACTACTTATTAGACTAACCACCATTATTTTTGACAGGGAGAAAATTACTTCGAGATTGATATAGATATGCACAGATTTAGTTACATTTCTAGGAAAGGTTTTGAAGCATTTCTGGACAGACTGAAGCTGTGTGTCTTGGATGTTGGCCTCACAATTCAGGCAAGACATATATATATATATATATATATATATATTTTTTTTTTTTCAGAAGCAAGATAAATAGATTTTTGTCTCAGAAAATTATTATTTGCTGGCTTTAAATTTTGTTTTTTCTTGTTAATGTATTGATATTTGAATCTTAAACCAGGGGAACAAAGTTGAAGAGTTGCCAGAGCAGATCTTGTGTTGTATACGGTTAAATGGTATTGATTACATGAATTATCAACAACTAGGGCACAGTGAAGAGGCCCTCTGATTATAAGTTTGTCAAAACAATGTAAGGCTGAAAGTAGTATCCATTATCCAATGAAAAATTAATTTTCAGAGAAATTTCTGTTGCGGTTTGTTTGGTACTGGATTTTTCTTGAATCCAATAACCTGAGGAGACCAGTGGGAACTGCTTACTAGTCTTGCAGACACACTGACTTCAAGGTTTTTTGCGTAATCAATTTGTTAAAATATCTTGATAAACCCAGAAACAGGGATGTAAAAGGAAGGTCTAACAGCATGTATAGGCTTGTAAACCCAGAAACAGGCTTGTAAAAGGAAGGTCTAACAGAATGTATATGTTTAGAGAGAACCCAATCATATATGTCTAACATCGTTGAAAGAAAAGGTCTTAGGTTTTATACACCCATCAGGCGGTTATCATATAGACCTTTGCGCAGCATCTCCCTGTGCAATTGAATACTAATTTTCATGTTCTTGCAGCGTAGATATTTTTAATAACTGCATAAAGTGAGTTATCGGGTAGTGATGCGTGATTAACATGTGTTGTATACACAATTAGTATGTTAAGCAGATTACTCGGATCAAATAATGGTGATATCAGGATATAAAGAAGATAAGGGTATATAACTCAGATAACTTGAGAAGTTAATACATTAATTTGCTGGGATTGTTGATTTTACCAAAACGCGAGCTTTACAGGGAGTAAGAGGCTTGCCACATAAACCTCTGTTGCCAGAAAAGGAACTCTCAGGAAAGTTACTCAATGGATTGCCAGCAGGTATCTCCCCCTCCAAAAGATTGTCTGATAAATCCAAATCCTTCAACTTCCTCAAATTCAAAAATTCGCTTGGTATTTTACCAGTAAACTGGTTTTTCTGCAGCTTCAGTGTCTCCAACAAGCTTTCATTTGCAAGTGTGTTGGGCAACACAAAACCTAAATTATTGTAGCTCAGATCTAGACTTCTTAATGATTTCAATCTCCCGATTGAATTGGGTAACCGGCCTTCGAGAAAATTATGTGATAAGTTGAGAAACTGAATCCCAGTTTGTCCTCCTTCACCCATGAGCTCTATTCCACTTGAAAAGCTGTTGTCTGAAAGATCTACGTATGTCAGTGAACCACCAGAAAACCTTTGCCCTATCTCAAAAACCCGACTTATTAGACCCTTTAGCTTATTTGAGTGGAGATCAAGCACACCCAAATCCTGTAAGTTAGTAATTGTCTGAGGGATTTCTGAAACAAGAGCATTCCTTGAGAGATTCAAAGAGTAGAGCTGAGTGAGTCTTCCAAGCCATGCTGGTATGCTTCCAGTCAGATGGTTAACTGATAAGTCCAGTTCCTGTATTGGACTTGGAGTAGTTCTCAAAAACTGTGGAATTTCGCCTTCGATTCCAACTCCTGCCAAGAATATACGCGAAAGAGATGGCAATTCTGCTAGCCATCTTGGGATCGAAGACAGGTTTAAAGGGTTAAATGACAGATCTACCGTTTGAAGATTTTGGAGGGAGGACATCTGGTCAGGCAACGGTCCTTTAATCGAATTATGAGAAACACTAAAGATCAAGAGGCTAGAGAGTTTACCAATTGATTTTGGTATCCAGCCGGATAACTGGTTTCCGTTAAGATATAACTCTGTCAAATCTTGTAGAGAACCCAAACTAGCAGGAATCGCTCCCTGAAGCTTGTTGTTTGCCAGGGAGACTCTCTGGAGGGATGTAAGATACCCGAAATTTAGAGGTAGCGTTCCAGTAAGATGGTTATTATTCAGTCTTAAGAAGCTGAGGGAATGCATTTGGCCATAACTAGATGGAAATGGAATTGCCCCCTCAAGATAGTTATTATCCAAGTATAGGACTGAAATGACAGTCAAATTAGTTACGGAAGATGGGATTTTTCCTCTTAAGAGATTGCTTGAGAAATCAAGTTCTTCCAGTACCTGTAATTCACCAATCTTTTGTGGCATGTGATCATTCAAATAATTGCTATGAAGATCCAAACGTACCAGACTCGTTAAGTTAATGAACGAATCCGGTATCTTACCAGTAAATTGATTTGATTGCAGAAACAGCTCATTGAGATTTTGGAGATTGCCCAGACTTGACGGGATAGTCCCAGATAATCCATTCTCGTGCAAATGAAGTTCTTCAAGTTTCAATAGATTCCCAATGCTTTCCGGTACTGGGCCTCTTAGCTTGTTGCCATAAAGATACAGTTTCCGGAGTTTCTGAAGGCGAAAACCAATCGAAGTTGGGATTGTTCCAGCAAGACCAATGAGTCCACCAAGATCAAGGACTTCAAGAGAGGTGAGAAATGTTATTGAAGGAGACAGCAATCCTTCCATTTGCGATTGAAACACAAAATCATCCGTGGAGATAAATCCCGGGAGACGGATTTCTGTCACTCTGCCAGTTGTGTTATCGCACGAAATGCCTTCCCAGCCGCAACAACTTTGCCCAACCCATTTGGCTAACCGCTCAGACGTGTCATTGTGAATTCCAGCCTTGAAACTGGTTAGACCTTTCAGATCGTTGGGGTTGCATACATCGCCCACATTGATCTTTCCCTCCCCAGATGCTATGATAGTGAGCACTGCAACTATTAACAGCAACTGACAACCCATTTTCTCTGAACTGCTTAATGAGGTTCTTACTCTCACTAGTAAACTTCTGCGATATCAAAAGGAAGGTTAGAAATTGTACCGTAGTGGTTGGATATCAAATTAATTGCGCATTTTAAGGACTGAGATAATGGGAACAACTCAGAGTTGGTCAAAGATATTTTCTTTTGGTTTTTGCCTTTTCTTTTTATGACCCCCTTTTCTCTTTTCAGTATACTACTATACTGAAAAGCATTAATATGTCTGAATCATGATGTCCTTGGTTTTGGTTAAAGGAGCCAATGGAGATCACAGTTTTGCGCTTTTGCCCATTATATCGATCTGTAAAATGCCACAAATTTCTTCGCCCAATAGTTTCATAATGATTAAACTAATCCTCAGCTCCTTTAATGATGTTCAAAAATCAAAAGGTCCAAAACATCTTCCCTGAGAAACTGTAGCAATAACAAACCCAAGTACCTTATCCACTGCCTGCCTTCAGTCCATCAAGTTTGAGAATTGAGATGCACATGATTTGATATTCTTTTTTAATGTTGGCGACAGCTGATGAGCATATAATCCGTAGCTCGTGCTGGTTTTCTCAAGGAAACTTTCATCTTCCTAGATTACTGGTGGTCCTGGTGCTCTTAAGAAACAGATTTGGCCCTTTTTTATTCACCCTAGGAACTGACATGTAACTGTGTTTTCGGAACTTCAAGAAGGTTCCTATTGTCGTTAGCGTTGTTCAAAAAGATAAGATTAAGATATTGATTTCCGTGGGCGAGTTTGGACAAAAATTTGAACAGTCGAAGGTCCTTCCGATCCGTGTAACCTGGTAACTTGTAAGGTATTATTCTAATAAACAGAACAGGATCATGATTAAAGAAATGGGATCTCTGAAGCTATTCTGAAACAATGTCAAGATTGAGAATCAAATGGTCAAATTTGATGCCCCTTCAAGCACTTTAACCCATGTATGCATGTCCATATTATAGTGTCTTTGAACAAGTATTGTGCTAATATCTAAATAAATTCGTCTTATTGGTATACCCCTCAAACATTATAAGGATGTCAATGATCTATGACATACATTATCTCCCAGCTTTCATATATATATATATATATGTGTGTGTGTTGAAATATGGATGAGAAAAGTTTTGTCCAATATGTAATTAAGCCTAATTTTTAGTGTTTTTGCACTTCTAGTAAAACAAAATTTAATTTAGAGTTCTTGGAATGGCATCGTTTGATCTGATGTTACTTTGATCCATAAATACAACCCCATTCTAATTACCTATATCAATCTTCTCATTTCATATAACATCTCCCTCTAGTCGGGTATCCTCTAAGTATCCCATAATGAAAACTTATAAATTACACAGTTTTCCAAGCATAAATTCTCTAAGTTTTCATTGTGAGATACTTAGAGGATACCCGACTGGAAGGAGTGTTACATTTAAGTGGTAAGCAAACAAAGAAACAAGAAGAAAGTTCAAGTAAATATCTCCCATAAAGACGAGTAATTATCTTTTACACTCGAGCAGATAAACAATCAAAAATGAAACGTCTAAACATTTTTTATTTTTCCATCTAAATAGTACCTAGAAGGGGGAAAGAAAATAGTAACTTTACATTTCAATTAATTGACAACACCTACCAATTCTCATGAGACTCAAAGTTTGCATTATAAGTGGTTAGGATAGGATACTTCTCTGGGTTAATTTAAGTCCAAAAATATAATTTTGGCTGGACTCTTGAGGCTCCTTATTTCATTGGGTAAGTAGTAATCACTAATTCCTAGGATACAAGTTGAGTAGATATCTGACGTATACCTGTTCATCTTTCTCTATGATGTGCTGAAATTGAAAAGGGTTGAGCTCTAATTATCCATTACTTCCATGGTTTAAGAGTGATGACATGGAAGAGGTACCAACAATGGGGCTGGTAACATCCCGTTCTCCATTTCCATATTCGGCTTTCCCTGATATCATCTTTATTGCTATTTCAGCAACTTCAACAAACCAGTCATCCTCTGGCAATACACTGACAAAATAAGAGTTATTAGACTATACTCAGTAAATTGATACTCTTCGTGTTTATGGCTAATGGCTAAGTGAGACTTACCTGTAGGGATCTAATCCATTAGCAGCTACAGCATCAATGGCTCTAGCTATGATGGTTTTAATAACTTGCTGTAAGTGGCGTGATAAATAACGTCCTTGGGATGCAAAAAGCATCACAAACTGCATATCCAGATAAAACTGCATAAACAACAAACAATTATTCAAAGTTTCAAAGGCCTACATTAAACCAGTTGATGAGCCGAGATATATTTTTCCTTATGTACCTGTTGTAGTCCATAAGGACCCAAAGACTTTGGCCCCTCCTCTATCTCAACCCAGAAGTTTTGATCATCAGAAAGAAACAGAACCACTGTTTCGGTCAGTCTCATTAAAAGAATAGTTGCAAACCTTTCTCTACCAATAAACATATCAGTTGCAATGCTTGCCATCCGACTCAATTTGGCAAATAGTTCCTGAATGGAGTTCGTAATTATGATTATATTACCTATTTACATGAAGCCAAAACCACAAATACTTAAAAAAGAATACCTGAAAAATTGGAGATGGAAACCATTCAGGTTCTTCCATGAGCTCATCCAAACTAATGTAAATTTGGGGATTAAGACGGATTTCACCGTCTTCCGTGAAGATGAGTTCAAGGGCATGATGTCTACAGAAGCTATCTCGCAACCCATCAACCAAGCGTTGTAGCCTCCTCTTCCATTCCCTTTGCTCTGGGAAACGGTTCTGCCTATCTGAAGCTTTTCTTGGAGTCATATTATCCACTCTATTAGACTGGCTGAATGGTAAAAGCTTCATTCCAGCACGGGGTAGCAGCTCCTCTGATAAAAGTGATGCATTAGCAAGCAAAGCTATTTGTTGGGCGTCAGTCTCTGCCATGCTTACAATTTTATGAAAAGAACCTTCTAAGTTCTCTTCATTCTCCGTTGAACCTGGCAGTGCATTTATCAACAGATCGACATAAGAGCTGAATACTTGTAAAACACCGTCTAATGCCGGACCATATAGCTGTAGGTTTTCAAGGGGCGCAATGTCCTCGAGTAATTCCTGAATCAAAATTGAACAATTAAATAATGAAGCCCAATAATCGACTACTTCCAACATATATTACAGCACCAAAAAAGAAAGAAATTATGAGAACATAATTTGGCTACCTGAACCAATAAATTGAATCTATGAGCACTGATTGAAAGCTTAGGCTGTGAGATAACTGCACCACTGAGAGACGCAGTTGAAGATGAATGTCTTACACCAGGTGGTGAATGAGTGAGCGACCAGTCATCTGAAGCGGCTAGCGCTGCACTGCTTTGTTCAATTTTTCTTAAGAAACCACCTAATGCCTGTTCAACATAGGGCCTAAAAAGTCTCAACAAGACAGGAGATAGAGCCAGTCCACCATCTTCTAATAAAGAACAGTGCCCCAAGCATATCTGAATGCTTTCAGTGACAACTCTCAAAACCCCTGCAGCTGCTGATGAGGCTAGAAAGTGTTTCTGGAGGAGATGAGCAAAACCCTCCGTCTCTTTCACGGCCCAGGTGACAAGTTCGGATGAATATGCAGGCTCCTCCCCAAAAACCGCCAATGAATCTCTTGCTGCTTGTCCAATGGTTGAGAACACAAGCTGTGAAAGGCTAGCAGTTAATGCTCCTCCACATAAAGTACTTGACGAGCGAACAATTTGTATGGAGCGCTGCAACTTCAGATGGTGAGAATTAAGTAGCAATGTATGGGCTCGTGGACTATCACCAAGCTTTTTAAGAGCTGAAACAGCAGAACGGAGCTCAACACCCCGAGTTGAAGGTTGGCAAGTAGCCTCTGCAAGTTGATCAGCAAGTTTTTGCCTTTGCTCCGAGATTGCAGTTTGTAAAGAATAAAGTGCGGATCTGCTCATTGTGTGCCTGTTTTTAGCTTCTTTTACTATAGATTGTCCTTCTTCTAGCGCAGTCAGAGCTTCATCTACTCTCCTTTCAGCCAATAAAACTTCAAGAGTGTCTAAAAAATCTACTAACCACTTATCCATTTTTGAAAGTCCTTCGTTCTCAGAGCTAATTGTGTCCTCATCCATTGCATCTCCGAAAGCAGCAGATAGAGAATCAATTCGAACACCTTCAGCTAGGCCTTGAATTAGAGCTGACTGTGTTGATAAAAGATTTCTTATGGAAAGGAGCTGACCCTCTAGAATTGTAATCTCCTTAGATGTGCTGCCAGTGTGAAACATTTTTGATAAATTAAGAAACTATAATGAGAACTTTGAGATAGCAGTCACGATAAAACTGATAAAAACATGTTCAAGCTCCACTAATTGCTCAGAGCTAATACCCTTTAGGAGCAAAATGGCTAATAGCTGGAAATTCAAGAAAAATCATAAACAAGGCGAGTTGAGAGGAAGAACATCGTACTTGAAGCAAAATTGCAAGACGGCTGTAAGTTTCAACCGTATAATTTTGTTTTAATTTATGGTTCAGATTAACAAGAAAATGTTATTTATTTACTGTAAATTCAGATAAAAGTTTGTTCACAAGTGTGGTGGTAGAGGTACGGTGACCGGAAACGTATTATCATAACCATTCTGAAACTCATTTATGCTTTATTAGAAGCACGTTTTGCTCACCGTATGAAAGCAGAATAATTAGCATAAACGCTTTTACGCATTTCCTCAGCTGAGGCCTTCTTCAATTCAACAAGGTAAGAACACAAGTGCCTTATTTCCTGCCAAAAATTAAAGAATAAAAATATGATTATGGATTGATAGAACGTTACATGTATGCATGAATGACAAAGATAGAATAATTAAAGAGAGACCTTCTCGTTCATGTGCTGGCATTTGGAGGTAACGTATGCATCAGGATCAAAGTTAGAGCTTTTGAAAGCCTTTAAGCGATCGTTAAGGGTTAGGTTGCCTTCCAGTTCAGCTGAGTCTCCTATACTATATGACCCTCTCGATCCAGATGCCATTCTTGATTAATCAGAGAACGGAAAACTAGATGAAATCAAACAGAAAAAGGTATTTAAAATTTACATCACAGAAGACTGAAGGGAATTGAATTAAAGAAAGAAGAAAGGGATCTTTATAGATGGCCGAAGGGAGCACGTATTACTCGCTGGGTTTGTTTCCTTTAGTTTTACTTTGCATGCTTATGATCCTGCCACGTAATATATCATCTTTATAAATATGTAAAAATTATTATTTATTTGTCATTTTAAGAATATACACATTCTTTAGTACAACGTCACACTTTCAAAATAATCGAATCAACAGGATAATATTTAAGTCAATCTTACTTCAGAGTTGATAAATATATATACGTATTTGTATACATTAATAAAAATTTAATTAGCTTATGTATACAAAAAAGGGTTAATAATATTCCATCCACGAGATTCAACTGAATAACAAATATTTACAAGATTTTAGAAATAACAATTTTTTATTTATTATATTCAATAATAAATTAATAAATATTTATCTAAATATCCTCAATTTAATAATAGAAATATTTAGAGTAAACGACTTTTTCCCACCCAAATAATGATTTAATGATATTTTTTCAGTCATAGACTTTTAAAATACAATTTTACTATTCAAATTTATATTCTGTTTCTGATTCTGACATCATTGCAATCTCACACCACCACCCTTCTCCTCCTTGATGATCACTTACCAAAACCCCTCAAACCGACTCCCACCGACCTCGCCAACCGTCGGCAATTAAGCAATTAGGGTTTGCATAGCGGCTCCTCCCAAGTCAAATCTGATCAATCTCAACCACCAAAGTACAACTTTCCACAACCAAATAACTTATCGATCTTCCCTCTTCAAAAGTCTAACAACTTAGACCGAGTTTGATTTCTATTCACTGTCGAAATATAAATCTGAGTAGTAAAATGATATTTTAAAAGTCTGAGAGTGCAAAAGTATCATTAAAATCATTATTTGGGAGGAAAAAAGTCATTAACTCAAATATTTAAATTGTTTAATTAGGTGGAATACGGGTAACAGTGGTATTGGTAAGCAAATTTAGAACTTATATAAATATTCCGCTTTGAGTATTAAAATGATTCTAGAGATAATATTGCATATATTAATCAGCTAGGAATTGGTACAAGGACTTGAATCAGCTATAATCTGATTGTCAAAATGGTAATTAGATACCAACCCTGTACTTGTGTATTATCTTACAAAAATCGTTTGATTGCCTTCTCCAATAATTGCAATTTCTCTTGCAATTAATTTTATTATGAATAACATCAACTCATCTCTCTGTTTGAAGCAAAACATATTCAACTCCCCATCTTCCAAAAGTACCAATATAATACATCCTTAACCTCATCTGCAGGTAATTCCTTATTAATTACACAATTCTAATTACATTTAAAACTCGAAAATCAGCATCCCATTACTTTGTTGGGTGTATACGAAGGTTTCCCAACCACAGTTCCATCGTTCCCAGCAAGAGCCTTGTACTTATCCTTCCTCGTAAAGTTCGTGCATTCATACGAAAGAGTTGCAGCAATCACTCTCTGAATGTAATTTGCCACCTCATGGCTAGACTTCCCTGAACCGCACGTTAGCTCCAATGGCAACTTATTCAAGAACGTTACTTCATAAGCTGGGCTAGGGTTCATGAAGAAGTAAAACGGGTCCATCCCTTTCCACCCCCGAGCCGCGGTTCCGTGAAACATGCTCATCCGGTTAACCATCGCCACCGGCACAAGCTGGTCCGTTAGTTCTGCAAACAATGCTGAAAACCTCAAGAGAAACGGTTCCCTACAGGTGGTTCCCTCGGGGCATATGGCTAAGTCACCTTCTTCGAGTAGCTTCTTTATCATGGAGGCATCATTGGCTCGGTCTCGTGTAAGCCTGACGGTTTTGATGGGTGAAATGAATTCTGAGAGTCTCGACACTGAGTAGGTGACTGCGGGAATGGGACGGCCGAGAGCTGTGGAGAGGAATATTGGGTCGAGTAAAGTTCTGTGGGAGCAAACGAAGAGGACGCCGGATTGACCTGTTGATTTCTTGGCCGGGGGAGGTGGGGTGCCTTTGACGGTGACACGAACGCCGAGTGCCCAGAAAGCGTAATAAACCAGTGGCATTGGGAGGAGGGCACCGGCGGCGATACGTAAGCAAGCTAAGATGAAGCCGATGGGGACCCAGAGAACGATAAGCAGCGCCATGAGTGGTGTTGGCTTTTGGACTAGGCGACCATCGTGGAAGATTATTGGTTTCGGGAGCTTCTTGCTTGGAAATGCCCTAACGTGTGGTTTGGGTGGCACAATGTAGCCTTCCTGTGTGTGTTTTCAAATAGTCGTAATTACTATGTGAATTTTGACATATAATTAAGGACTTCTACCTGGATTTGAAAGAGTAGTTTTAATTATAAGATTAGGCTTTGTTTGAAAATTGTATGATATTCACTAACCTTGCACATAGCCATGAAGGGAAAATCAGTGTGCCTATCACCCAGTCCAATCTCTGGTTGTGCCTCTCCAAACGCCTTCCGAAGACCATCAGCCTTTTTATCTCCCACCAGTACCCCAGGACGACGAACAAACCCAGTTGCTCTACCTCTATAGGTGGCAATCTCGGTGCCCACAACCATGTCAACTCCCAATAAATCTTTCAGAAATGCTTCTACCATTATCCTGGGATTCGCCGTTAGAACACACCGTTTCCCACACGAAGAAAACACGCGCCACGACTCAGGATGGATATCACTAGAGTAAAATTTCGGCAGTACCGCACGTGCTACTGACTCAATATCACTCACCTTCATTCCAGCAAATGAGGAAAAGATAAGAACTTGGATTCCCGCTGATTCTGAAACAAAGTAATACAGAAGACCAGCGATTGGTGAAGCTAATAGCAAGAAAAGGAGCCTCAAAACCCCACCAACTTCGTATGCAACTAGTGCAAAGTAAGGGAAAGAGCTACGTCCTCTGAGCAAGGTTCCGTCCATATCGGCAACCACCGTGTGCTTTTCTCGACCTACTGATGCACATTGATCGATAGTTGGAAATGCATTAAAAGCCATGGTGGGTTTATAGTTAATTTGAAAGAGAAAAGTGCTACGTTTTGAAAGAATTCTTGATGTTTATAAGCTAGATATAGAGGAAGATAAGTAATTGGAGACATGTAAAACAAAGGGAAGCTGCATAAGAAACGAAAACAAGAAGGGACAAAGGGTTTGGTTTATGAATACTATGATGACAATGCGTAGTTAGAGCATAATTTGGGACACCGTATGCATATGGGTATAACCGAGGGTTTACCACTCTTGTTTTTAGAGGAAAAACAACAATGGTTTATTCGTTATTTAGCATCCTTGATTGTTTAGTCCGCCTATCTTTTGTCTTGTGTATGAGCGAGAGCTCATGCTGCAACGTTGATTTGTTTGTTAATTAGAAGGGAAATTTCATATTCATTCTTGAGATTTAAGGAAAATTTCATATTCATTCTGGCTTTTAAAACTGGGACAATATAGAAATGAAGGATATTATAGTATGTAAACAAACAAAAAAATCCTCCCAAATAACTGCGTATGTAAATGTTTATTAAATTTAAGGGAAATAAATCCTAGCATTTTAAAATAAAAGACCTAAACATAATTAATCAAAAACTCGGGGAATAAAATCTTTCTTTGACATAATCAAGGTAACTCGACAAGTCAGGTGACATGGAAAGAAAATGGAGTTGCTCTAATTACCTAGTGTTTTACTATATGTTAATTAAACTATACAAAAGAACTCCTCACTAATTGACAGTTTCAAAAGTATACATCAACTACATATCATAATCTTAGAAAGAAAAGTCTTTTTGACAATAAAAATTCCTCTCCCAATTACGACGTTTATATTTGCCATGCTATATATAGCTCTATATATATTATGATATGATTTTTATTATTTTACATATATAACAATTGTTTAATGTCAAAATATATATAAGTGGGAACATATAGGTCCTTTGTGGGTACTTGTAATTGCGATCTCCATGAGTTTAAAGAAATCTGTAAACGATTATAAATTTGCTATTAATTAGGATAAGAAAATAGTAGCAAAAGAGCTACAGTATTCTTGGAGATGTTTACATCAATATGATCAATTGGTCAATACATTTGCCTTAGATTAGGCATATTATTACATTAGGCTATGGTTTTACATTTATAAAAAGAGTCGTCTTACAAACAAAAAAAATTGAGGGTTTGTTTTGGGTCCATTTGGTTTGTTATTTTGGATAGGATTTTGAAAATAATATTGGACAGTTGAATAGGGTGATTATTACGAGGTAAAATTTAAAATTTAACCAAAAAAAAACCCCTAGGTCTGCTAGTTTAACTAAACACCCCAATATATAAACGTTTTGTAAAATGACAAAAACACCCCCACCAACCCAAAATCCCAGATTCCTGCCACCATCGTTGGAATCTGGTCGAAATCTGGAGTTATAACGCAGACCGGTCGAATCTGGTTGGACGTGCGTCCATTTGGCTTTTTTCGGCCAGATCGATGGCCAAAGATGTGGCCGTCATTGTCGGTCAACGACGACCATTTCTTTGGTCGGAAAAGGCCAGATTGGCGAATTACTAGCTAGTTTCGGTCGTTTGTAGGCCGTTGTGACAGATTTCGGCTACCACCGACGGTGGTTTCTGAAATCTAGCAACTATGGGTGGGTGAGGGTGTTTTTGTTAATTTTTAAACTTTTTTTATGAGGGTATTTAATGAAATTAATAAACTTAAGGGTTCTAAAAGTAATTAAAAAAATATAATAGTATTTCCTAAATAATTAAACAAACAAATATTTTGGGAATAGGATTGAGAATATGGTATAAAATAATAAACCAAACGCACCCTTTATTAGTTTAGATATGATTTTTGAAAAAGTTAACTTGGGTGGTTATTGAAAGATTGAATGCATGGAGAATGATGCATGTGATACTATAACATGTATATTCTCATTTTGCAAAAAAAATTAATTAAATTGAAAATAAGTAAGGTATAACTTATTACCTTAAGTCTTTAGCAACCTTGAAGACTTTTAATTTCAAGAGAAATTAAACAAAAGAGTATCCACACTAAAGTAAAAGAAGAATTAGGCCAAGAGAGACATTTAGGGTTCTTAAAATTTTTTTATCTCTATCTTAAAATTGGTATATCATTTTCTTTATATATGTAGCGTTGCAAACAAATCAATAATTGTTTTGGACTTCCTTAAATAATTCCATAATTGTTTTGGAATTCTAAATAATTCCATAATTGTTTTGGAATTGTAAATAATTCCATAATTATTATGAAGTTATTAAACCTCTTTAAATAATAACATTGGATTAACATTTAATCACAATTAACAATTTAACTCTTAAATTGTTTATTTTATTTTTTAACTTGTTCATATGTTTATAATTACAACCCATTGTTAAATTCAATTTAATATAAAGAAAATTATTAATTATGAATTGGAATTCCATTTAATGCCAATTAGCAGTTTAACTCTTAAATTATTCATAATAACTAATATAACCCTCCACTGAATCTAATTCAATGATAATAATATAAATAACTTTATTACTTTTGGTAAGTGCTAGCCAACCTTGGATAATCAACTCTCTTTGGCTATTTCTCCATTTTCCTTAGTTTTATGTGTGACCTCTTAGGTTTATTGTGGCCTAACCGTAGGCCCAATATCATAGTCTATTCTGATATGTTTTATCATGATTCTTTATGAACAAAACTCACACCGATTATGGTAGGCATCTAACAATGTTCCACAACCCCTAAGTCACAATGAAGATATACTCCAACAAACTTTTTTATAATCATACGCACTGTATAATCAAATCCTTCCATTGTCTAATCCCAATTAAGAATGGATTCATGGTATGTCAAAATCTTTATCTTAATTTTATATCAAATTGACAATCAATACATATGGAACGTGTCACCATGAAACAACCTTTTAGGTAACATTTTATATACTCCGGCCGGAGATTTCCCTTTTCCAATGTATCTTGACATTTGTTTAGGAATTTGATATCAATATATACCAAGTCAACGGATCCCATCTTGACTATCACTTGTCCTCACACATAAACAACACATGGTCAAATTGGCTTATTAACACATGATATGATTAGCCTCATGTTTATACACCATATAAACTATATGCGTTTATGCAGAATCTAACCGTGATATCTCAGGTCTATGTATTAATAATACACTAGTACGATCTTATGATACATCATTGACTACATTTTAAATATCCATGTGATTCATCATAAATGGTCATATTCGATAAACAGTTCACTAATCGCTTATCCATGCTAATGCCCTGGTGATATAACTTTTATAATCACCCACACTAATACTATCACATGATATTCTACGGAGGCATTTAGCATGCCTACTATGTAATATTATTGCCTATGTAGGGAATACTTTGATGATTTTGATCTTCTAAAAATTTGTATCATCCGAACATTTCACGTGTAATACATATATATAAATGAAGCAATAAACCACATGTAAAATAAGAACACTTTCTTATATTGATAAGATAAAAATGTATATACAAAATATATACATTAACATATATATACAAAACATAATACATTGAAACTGACGACATGATTGGTTCCTAGGGCATATACTAACAGTTATTACGTGGTAGGATTTAAAAACTAACAAAAACACCCCTTAGGTTTGTTAATTTAGCTAAACACCCTTACAATAAAACATTAAACATTAAAAATTAACAAAAACACCCCCACCCACCCACCCATGAAATGTCGATAGCCGGCGACCACCATCGGAGAATGGCTGAAAGTCATCATAATGGCACACGACCTGCTGGATATGCTCAGTCGTGCATCGATATGATCTTTTTTGGCCAGATCTATCGTGGATTTGATCGAAAAATGCCAGATCTGACCACATTTGGTTGTCAACGATGGCCAAAGATACGGCCATCATTGACGGTCAACGACGACCATTTCTAAGCTATCGTTGACGACCAGTTACGGCTAAAGATCTGACCGTTAATGGCCAGATCTACGGTGGATCTTGCCGGAAAAGGCTAGATTGGTACACTATTGGCTAGATCCAACCGATTGTGTGCCATTACGCCAAATTCTGACCACCTTCCGATGGTGGTGGCCGAAATCTGGCAAATGAGAGTGGGTGGGGGTGTTGTCAATTTTTAAACTTTTTTTTCGTTGGGGGTATTTAATTAAATTAACAAATCTAGAAGGTTTAAAAATAGTTGAATAAAATATAATAGAATCAGATTTTTAGAATAGGAAAATAAATATGTATTTTTTATAAAATTTCAAAAATCCTACTCAAAATAGAGAAACAAACAGATATTCTCTATTTATTGAAAAGTGTGTCTTTTGTATGTTTTTGTAAATAAAGTGTATCACAATAATTTTATTATTATTATTAATTTAAAAAAAAGTACTAATTTGATGCAAAATTAGTGGATAAATCGAAGAGTAATATAAAATAAAAGTTAATAAATGACAATGCATGATATGACTGTTAATAAATAGTAATGAGCTGGCCTAAATTTGTATATAAAAGTTTGATAAAGATTGCCGACAAACCCTTCTTATTAATTTTCTCCTATACAAATATTAGGGGTGGAAAAAAAAAAAACAAAAAACTAGACTGAATCGAAAAATTGGACCGAAATTGGTCTGAAAATTCTATTTTTTTTCTGGTTTCGGTTTTCCATATTTTGTAAACCGAATATTCGGTTCGGTTTTTTTAAATAACAAAAACGATTAATCGAACTGGATTTTTAAACCGGTTTAATGAATAAAAAAATAATTTTATATTTTTTAATTTTTAAAAAATTTATCCCTAGGTCTTCACTAATGCGCATTTTCCAAAATTCAATTTAAAAAAAAATAATTTTATATTTTGCGCATTTTCAAAAAATTTATCCCTAAGTCTTCACTAATGTAATTTTAAATTATTAATACTTGATGTAGATTAAAAATATATGAATTCAAATTATTCAATTACAATAAATATAACTTTAATTCAAGTTAAAAAAAAACCTGGAAAAAAAAAATTGGCCAAAGTGGAGGGTTTGACCGAATTGGGCCGAACAAATGCAGTCCATCATAATTAATCGGTTTATAACCGGACCGGTTTCGATTCAAATTTTTTTTGAAACCGAAAACCGATTTGGTTCAAGATACCGGTTAACCGGTTTTTTTCCACCCCCAACAAATGTGATATGACATATCGTAATTGATCAGCTTGCAATTGTTTAAGTGGATACTATTGTTAGACAGATAAGACCCATTATAAACTATCACACGTTTGTGAGAGAAAGTTAGTAAGAATGATTTGTGAAAGTATTGCCCATAAAAGTTTGAGTAATATTACACCAATAACCTCTTCTTTCAAACTTTCTCTCACAACCTTGATGTGATAACTTGCAATTGGTCAATCGCAATGTATTAAGTATGATCCATTATAAGCTGACCAATTACGAACTGCCACGTCAGAATTATGAGAGAAAGTTTGTGAGAAAAGGTTGTAAACTTAGTATTTTTGTAAAAGTTCATGCTTAATGGGCTAATGACCGCCACTATTTTTTCAAAACTTATTTGGTTTGTGTACTATTGAAATAGAGTAAAAGAGTGATGTAAGTGTAACATTACTCATTGAAATAAGGTTTGGTTAACAAAAGTGTAGAAAACATAAATATTAACATAAAAATTAAATTAAATAATAGCAAAAAATGTCAGACTGAAGATGGCAAAGTATCGGTAAAAATAATTTAAAATAAAAAATTACAAAGAAAAAAAAGTAATTTTCCCTATTTTGCTCTCCTTTTTATTAATAAATAAATAATTATTTTTATTCTTACTCTTCAAGACCCAATGATGCAACAAGTTAGCGTAACAGTAAAGTTAGAACTCGACTATACCTTTAAAACTGATAAACAAGCCTCAAACTTTGAATCATGGAAACTTAAGTCATAAATATGAATAATTCATTCAATATTCCATATTTTCAAAAGAAACAAATAATATGTTTATATAGGTTAGTTACAACCAACCCTAATAAGACTCTAATTAAACAAAAAAATAAAATCATACTTAAACAAGAAAACTATTAAAACAAGAAATCTCAACTATTGACTAATCATATAATAAGAAAGTAAAATTTAACTAAATTAAAACTTCTTAAATCAACTAAACTCCTAATTAAAATAAAATACTACTTAAATTCCTAATATGAAACCTTAAATAAATAAATAAATCAAATAAAGATAGTGACACAAAATTAAATTCTAATTAAATCCTAATTTAACACTATTTTCCCTACATCACCCAAAAATGAAAAGAATTTCCTGTTACAAAGTGAAAAAGATAAGTTGGACATTAAATGGTATAATGAGTAACATTGAAATGTTTAATCTTATGTGCATATATTTAATTAATCTATTGTACTAGTATTTGAGTTTGAAATTAATAAAACAAATCATTATTTAACAAATAACACTGTAATGGAAATATTTTTTATTCGTGCAAGCAGAATAAGATAATTACACAGAGTGTTTAATGTAATTAAAATAATTATTAAAGACAAAAATATTTAAAATGAATACTGATTTCTTTTGTGGATCCTTCTCCTATATGGGGGGGCCCTAGGGGTTGAGCCGGCCCTAAATGTAATGAAATATTAGCCTGAGTTTAAGGTATTTCAGAAAATAAAATTAAAACGTGATTAATGATGAAAACGATTGTAATTGGATTTAATCTCCCATGAGTAAAATTATAGTTTTACCCTTATAATATGAACTTCATTTGAAAGACGTCGTCAACTGTAAACGCACTTTTTTGACTAATTTGTCTGGGAGATTAAATAAAATATATGAGTAATTACACCCAAATCTATTTCAATAAGAAGCCTTTTGGTTCCAAATCCAATAAAAGGCCCGAATTTATTTTGTCGTAGACATCATTAGCTATTAATTGAGTAAACGACATATTCCCACCCAAGGTTTGACAAAATCCCAGGTGAGTACCACAAGTTCCATTTATTCCAGATTCTCACCCTTAAAGTAACAGTATTATGAACTTTTTAGGGTTTAGGACATGCAATTACCATAATACCCCTAACCTTAAATTAATAAATTATGTTTTAACCCCTAATTTATTAGAATTGTAAAACTTACCATTTTATTTTCAAATTATATCAAAAACACCCTTGGTCATTGCACACCCTTATCGGAAATAGCCCGATCTGGGCTGTTTCCGACGACGTCGAACGTCCTGGTCACTCCATCACCTTCCCCCTATTCCGTCGTCCAAAACCCCTCTAATTCCTGACTCATTTGCCCCTCCAATCGCTGGCACAATTAGACTTAGGGTTTTGATGTTCTTCACCGGATTCCGGTCGATTCCGGCGGTGAAAATCCAATTGGACACCACCAATGAACCACCGTATCCAGATCTATAAAATCCCATGTCCCCAGCACCTCTCATTGTCATTCGCCGCGAGAGTTCGTGTTCTTCGGTCATTTTTCGATGAAGCGTGGACGCGAACGGTGAGCTGCCGTGGCTAGAAAGGTTAGGGTTTTTGTAGGGGAGGATTGGAGGAGTCAAATGGTGGTGACAATGGTGATTTTGGGTGAAAAAATCGTCGGAAAAGAGCGAAAAAGTTTACCGGCAGTGGTCTGCTAACGTGCGCAGGAGGACTGTTACAGGCGTGGTCTGCTAACGTGCGTCGCCCATGTAAAATGACCATTTACCCCTTAACCGTTATATCAAACGTTTTTCCGTCACTTTAAGGGTGAGAATCTGGAATAAATGAACCTGTACTCATTAGGAATTCATCAAACCTTAGGTGCAATATGTCATTTACTCCTATTAATTTAGCACTCTGGCCAAAATTAAAAAAGGCAATTAAATTTAGAATAATATTTATGGAGCAATGCAATAATGAGAGACGTGAGTGCCGACCGAACCAACGCATAAGCAATAATTTAAAATTCGAAAAACGAGTGAAAAGCGCAACCTCAACGATTAAATACTCCACCAACCAACTAAACAACACCCGTCCTGTCCTAGTCCCCACCCCTCCCTCGTTTCTTTTGTTAACCGTTAACCAACTCTCATTCCTAATAAATTTGACAAATTAATTAAACAAAAAAAAATCTATATTTACGTTTTCTGTGTTATCGGCTGAATTGACAAAGTCTAACTTGATAATTCACGTTTATATTATTTTATTTTATTCTTGGAGGGAGGTAGATAATAATAAAATAACAAAATCGATATAGTGACTGTTGAGAAAGATAGAATTTAAATTGACATTGAACAGAAAAACATGTTATTAATGGATGATTTATTTTCAAACACTTTTATCCATTTTATCTCTTTAATCCTTAAAGTGAACAAATATAAATAAGAAGATTTAATTGACCAAATAAAACAATGTTCGTTGGTAGATAATATAATCATTACCAGAAATATAAGTACCGAAACAAAAAAAAACTGTTATTAATAGAATGATTTGAGAGTATTATTTATAGTAACTTATTTATAACTTCACATACTAAAGGTGGTTAATTATTTATAATTCAAAAAACTTTTTTAACGTGCACTCCAAAATAAAAATAAAATCTCTTATTTAAATTACCAACGTTTCAGAAGGAAGTCCGCCCACTCTCTCTCTCTCTCTCTCTCTTATTAATTTCATTTCTTTCTCTTTATTGCTTCTTCATGGAATCTTCCATTTAATGAAGCCATTACCGACAACCATGGAAACGCTGCCGTTTCTCACTTGATTAGCATTAGCTTTTCCTTTACATAGCAAAAACCAGAACCAGCTATATGACAGCCTAAATCGGGAAGAGAATTAATGGGTTTTGCATCAAAAGTTTTTTTAATAATACTTTGCTTTTCTCCTTTTTAAGCAAAAAAAATAAAAAATAAAAATTTATTTTTTACTATATTTTTTATAGTCCGTTCAAATATTAAAGCCAAAATCAATTCTTTCTCTTTCCCTTTCCGTTCCTTTCTTTGAAGCAAGTGCTTACAGTAACTGCGTGAACACTTCGCTTTCTTGGGAGTTACCTTGACTTCTAGGGTTAGTTTTGTCGAAGAACTGACAATAATACAACCCAAAGAGTGCGATCCTATCGCGGGTTTTTGAATTTGAGTTTTCTCTTTTTTTTTTTTTTTTTTTTTTTTTTAAAAAAAATGAAGCGGGGCAAATTTGAGTCGGTGTTGACGTTGAGTCGACTCAGGATGATTCAATTCTTGATGGGTGTTTTGTTTCTTTACATTCTCTTCATGAGCTTTGAAATTCCTCTTGTTTTCAGAACTGCCGACTCCGAGTCCGATGAGGGGTCTATTGGATTCTTCGATAACGCTTTGCCCAAGCATGTGCTGCTGGAGACCGAGTCGGAAGAGTTTAACGCGGCGAGTCAACCCTCGAGAGGCGTTTCTAATAGTTTTTCACGGACACCCGAGCGGAGAATGCGGGAGTTCAAGAAAGTTTCTGGCTTATTCTTCAACGAGAGCATGCTCGAAGACATTGACGGAACTAATGACGAGTTCTCTGTTCTCCACAAGACGGCAAAACAAGCGTGGACGGTTGGTAAGAAAGTTTGGGAAGAACTTGAATCAGGAGAAGCCGTTGCTTCAACCGAACCCGAAACAAACAAGAGGGCAGAGAACAAATCGGAGTCTTGTCCGCATTCGATTAGGATGTCCGGGTCGGATTTTTTGAAGGGGGGCCAGCTCATGGTGCTGCCGTGTGGATTAACACTTGGTTCGCATATTACCGTTATTGGTGTGCCGCATTGGGCACATCCGGAGAATGATCCGAAGATAGCGATGCTTAAAGAAGGGGAGGAGTCTTTGATGGTTTCGCAGTTTCTGATGGAGTTGCAGGGTTTAAAGACGGTGGATGGAGAGGACCCACCGAGGATTTTGCATTTTAATCCTAGATTGAAGGGTGATTGGAGTGGCAGGCCCGTGATTGAAATGAACACTTGTTATAGGATGCAGTGGGGTTCGGCTCATAGATGTGAAGGCTGGAAATCTAGAGCTGATGAAGAAACTAGTAAGTAATCGATTACAGTGTCTTTTTTGGTTCTTCTGGTTGTTTTTGATGCAATGTGGGTGCATGTAACTACATTTAGCTGATATTAAGTACCTAAATATAGTCGAGAATGCATGAAGCTGATATTTGCTGGTGTAGATTACGATTTTAGGGAGATGCAAGGTTTTAACTTTTCTTAAGTTATTTAAGAGTTATGCTAAATGTTGAATCAAAGTCAGAAATTATAATATTGCTACAGTAAACAATATTATTTTTTGTGTGTCATTTATCTAATTGATGAATAAGAATTGATTTGATTGTTGGAGCTTAATTGTGACTCAATTTAGTAATTTGGAGGATTTGCACTAATGGTTCGAATTAGTTTGTTAATCTTTTTTTAAAGGTTCTCTATTCACCATTATTTATGTTGCATTTTGTGAAGTTGATGGACAAGTGAAATGTGAGAAATGGATTCGTGATGATGATGATCACTCAGAAGAATCTAAGGCTGCATGGTGGTTGAACAGGCTGATGGGGCGAACAAAGAAGGTGACATTTGAGTGGCCATACCCATTTACCGAGGGCAAGTTATTTGTTCTTACCATACAGGCTGGCTTTGAGGGCTACCATATTAATATTGATGGAAATCATATTACATCTTTTCCATATCGAACTGTGAGTAACCTTGTCATATTGCCTGTTTGTGATGAAGGTGGAACCTCTTACAATTGACGATAAATATTTGCAGGGTTTTGCTCTCGAGGATGCCACTGGATTAGCCGTGAATGGTAATGTTGATGTGCATGCTATTTTTGCTGCTTCCTTACCCACTTCTCATCCAAGTTTTGCTCCCCAAAAGCATCTTGAAATGATAAATAAGTGGCGGGCACCACCTCTTCCTGATGAACATGTGGAGCTTTTTATTGGCATCCTTTCTGCTGGAAACCATTTTGCTGAGCGGATGGCTGTGAGGAAGTCTTGGATGCAACACAAGTTAATTAAATCTTCCAAAGTAGTGGCTCGTTTTTTTGTTGCACTGGTAAGGAGGGTGGTATGTGACATTCCTTTTTGATGAGAAATCTTCTATTTTGTAGTGCGGTATGAACTAATAATGCCTGCTATTTTTTGGTCTTCTTCTCCACAGCATGGAAGAAAGGAAGTAAACTTGGATCTAAAGAAAGAAGCAGAGTATTTTGGTGATATTGTTATAGTTCCTTACATGGATGCTTATGACCTTGTTGTAGTGAAGACTGTTGCAATCTGCGAATATGGGGTGAGTGGCAGCAGTGTTCAACTTTCTTTTTCTTCCCTGAAAATAAAAATAGTACATGGCCAATGTGTTTATTAAACATTCAAAACTATAAGTTTTGCTTTTTATATGATTTATTCCTTGTCAAAAGAAAGGAACAATTACATTTTGCCATGTTCATGGCTGTTTACAGGTTCGCACAGTTGCTGCAAAGTATATAATGAAGTGTGATGATGACACATTTGTTAGGGTGGATGCCGTGATCAAGGAAGCAAAGAAAGTCAATAGAGATAAGAGCCTGTATATTGGGAACATCAATTACTATCACAAGCCCCTCCGTTATGGAAAATGGGCTGTAACATATGAGGTATGCATTTTTGTTAAATTCTGCAAATCCTGGAGGAACATTTCCTTACTTTCCTTTTTCTTGCTCATTGTACTGTTTTCACTTTTGTGCTCTGATTTGATTTACATGGAGTAGCTGTCTACTTTGAAATTATTCTAATATTTCATTTTTTTTTACTGCATTATTGGAATTTTGGTTGAGGTTTTGGTAAAATGAAGGGAACTGAGGATCTGCTCTTTTTTCCTTCTATTCATCTCTCTTTTCCAATGGAGTCCATGCTTTTATTTGACATGATATTTGGTCTCCCAGTAGTGCAGGGATAATGGCCTTTTTAGGTTTTGTTTTTATTATTGTGAGATGAGGGCATAAGTATTATTGTTTGATTGATTGACCTATATCTCATAACAGAATTGATTTGATTATCATACATTTCTCTTACTGAGCAAAATTCCTCTATTGGAGGTTTCATTGACCCAACCGTTATTTCAGGAAGCATATTAGTTGTGATATATTTTGACATGCTGGAAATCACATATATTTCAGTCATCATTCTGAACTTGCTCTTTTCTACTTGGAGACTAGAGGAATATTGCTTTTGGATTTGAGAGATATAATAATTGTTAATATGTATTAATTGTGAAAATTTATGAAAAAATAATTATCTTATGGGAATGCTACATTCAGCTTTTCTTGTTTTATCATTGTGTGTAGTGTTGTTAGAAACGTAAAAACTATTTTATTCTTCATTTATCTGGCATAAATGGCAATTATCAATCATATGTGTCCACTGTTGCTTGAGCTAAATTTCCAGATGATCAATAGTTATCTGTTTTATTAACCTAATTTTTAATGATTACATTTTTATTGTTTATCTTGCACTTGTAGAATTTTTTGTTGTCATATCTTGTGTAAGTGCTTACACAATTTCCTTTCTGGTGAGTTCCAGGAATGGCTGGAAGAAGATTATCCACCATATGCAAATGGTCCAGGTTACATTGTGTCTTCTGACATTGGACAGTTTATCGTAAATGATTTTGAAAAACACATGCTGAGAGTAAGTTATTGATCAGCTGCAATCCACATAGCTTCTTATTGTTGCTGTCTTTCAATATGTGCAAGATTTATGTGAAGTTTTTTTTTATGATAAATAGTCATTATTCTTTTTAACCAAATTTTGCTCCTCTCCAGTTGTTCAAGATGGAAGATGTGAGCATGGGAATGTGGGTGGAAAAGTTCAATAGTACAAAACCAGTTGAGTATGTTCATAGTCTGAAGTTCTGCCAGTTTGGGTGCATCGAAGACTATTTAATTGCTCATTACCAATCTCCAAGACAGATGATATGTATGTGGGATAAGTTGCAAAAGCAAGGAAAGCCACAGTGCTGCAACATGAGATGATAATGAAGATGTTGTCCAGATACTGTGGTAAATCTGAGAAAGTACAGAGAACAATTTTGCAGTCACAGTAAATCTCTGTATATATAAAGTGGGGTTGAAGTTATACAGTTATACTGAGGCCATTTCTCTCCCTTTCAGCATTGATTCTATGTTTTGGCCATTTTGCTTTGTATTCTCCCCCATTTTCCTTTCAAAAGTGTAAGAATAGTGACCCAACAAAACTATAGGAATTTATACAAGGATTTTTTCTTTTTATAGGCAACACCTGGATTGTAACCCAAGACTAGAGAAACCTGTATCTATTAGCTGAAATGATGAATTCGGGGGGTCATTTATGACAATATTTATAGATGACTCCCCCTTGTAATAGAAGAGGAGAGAAACTCAGGTGGAGAATGAAAATATTTATGCGTTAATTCTCTCCCTGAAAATGAAGTTGGAATTTCTGTTGTAAGAGCTCCAAGGTTCATTATGATCAACACCTGGCTTGGCAATGGCTTGTTGATGAATATTTCTAAACCCGAGTTGTTAATGGTTTCGCTTATGATAATTGAAATTGTTCCTTTGTAATTGTAATTGAAATCTTAAAGGATGTAATTGAAATTTATTTTTACGAGAGGTGATTCTGCTGTCCACACTCCACAGTTGAGTCCTGCAAACGAACCGAATTGTTCGCAAACAGTTCGATAACTGTTCGACTCAACTTGATAATAAACTATTCGCGAACAGTTCGATGTTCGTTCGATAATATGTTTGATTCGAGTTCGAACATGGAATGTTCGTTCGATTATATTCGCAAACATTATACGTTCGATTGATCCATCCGTTTGCGAATAATCTGTTCGATTATTCGTTCGTTTATGTTCGAAAAACAAGGTATACATTATTATAATTTGTATATATATTTTTTTTCATTTTTATATTATGATGCTTTTATTTTTCTTATATATATAATATGTTTGGATTTTTTTTTTGAAAATGTCATCAATAATTAAATATATAAGTATATATCATTTTAATGAAAAAGTAAAAAAAATATTATGATACATAGTATAACAAATTTAATAACATAATACATTGTATAATCAAGTGATAGATAATATAGTAAATCCAATAACATAATAGCTTCATATTTTTTCAAATGTAATCAATAATTAAATATTATAAGATAGTATTTCAATTAATAAATAATAAATATAGTATGGTAAATTGATAAACATAACATATTGTATAATCAAATGATGTATAGCATAACAAATTTAATAATATAATAGCTTAGCTAAATATAGTATGATAAATTGATGAACATAACATATTGTATAATTAAGTGATATATAGCATGACAAGTTTAATAATATAATAGTTTAATTAAATATAATATGACAAATTTATGAACATAACATATTGTATAATCAAGTGATATATAATATGACAAATTTAATAACATAATAGTTTAATTAAACCTAAATTAATCACACATTTGTATTGATCATTTATTACAATAAATCTTTATATCACTATGAATTTATAATGATAATATATATATATAATTTAATAATATATTTAACCTATGATTAATATACGTATGATAATAATTTTGTATATACACAATTACACATGCTTTTAAGTTATATAAGTATTTAATTATTTTAATGGTTTGATGTTTATTTGAACTTAATTTTGTTTCCTTTGTGTATTTTAGACAGAGGAGTAATTGAAGATTGATCTTCCCATTGCATCAAGTATATTGATATATGATTACTTTTTTAAGTGTAACCATATTTAAAATCAGTCTATTTTTACTAATGATTTTCATTTTTTTTTTCTTTTGTAGATTCATACTATATACTATATAGTGGCATGTTCACTCCTATTGGAATCCTTTTGGTTGTGCAGTAATGTCTATGCAAAATACAAATTCTTTTTGTTTGTGTCATGTTTGATATGGAACCAAATTTGTTTTGAACGATTTATTGTTCTGTTAAATTTATTTTGAAGTTTTATTATTTATAATGACTAGTTATTTTAATTTACTGAGTTTTTATTGATTTATTTAAAATATAGATAGAGAGTTGGTTTATTTTCAAATGTTGAATTAAATGGGTATGAATTATAAATTGTTGTATATTTGTTTTTTAGAACATGAATTGGAAAGTTGATGTATATTTTTTATTTGAACAGATATTTACAAGTTATCGAAAGAATTATTCGAACAGGTATTTATGAGTTAGTCGAACAATCACGAATTGATTGTTTTGTTAATTGAACAAACTCGAACAGTCATCCTGTGTTCATTCGAGTTCGAACACTTCTTCATGTTTATCGAACGAGTTTCGAACAAAGGTGTTCATTCGTGTTCGGTTCGATTGGAGGCCTACTCTTTGACACATGGATAAAGTTTTTGCATTCATTACCTACTCATTACATGAGTACAAGTAATCTGATTCCTAGATAAAATGGTTATCTAGCTTGCATAAAAGTGGGATACCCGAAGATAAGAGCAAAAAACAGTGGGCATAAAGCGTTTATGTATATGTCACTTTCTAGAGCTTCAAAGGAAAGTAGCAATAAAGAAAGAACCTTTAAGATAAAAATAAGGAACCTTATTCCATTATCATTCTAGTATTATCAATTCCCCTGGCAGGTTCCAGAATCGTATTTCTATAACCTGGATCAGGCATATTTGATGCTTTTGATACATAATCTTCAACAAGTTTACAGCCCAAGTATGATGCAAGAAAATTTCCATCACCAAGTGGTTTGTTCTTTGATTCTATACCTCTCAATTTAAGACTGAACAATGTGTATGTCAGCCCTTCAGATACTGCATCATAAAACTTACAAAAGAAACAAAAGAGACACAATTACTTCAGCATTTAATTACCTTTCATCTCTTTAACAAATTACTTTCTACAACATGACCCAAACCAGAATCCATGCCAAGGTACAAGTCAACCAAGTCCCTGCAACATCAAGATGATTCATGTATGCTTGTAGAAATCAAATAAAAATCTGACAGTATTTTCAAAACATGTAGAGAAATTTAAAGAATAATTACCTGTCTTCCATGGGAGAAGCCTATGAGCATTACTGAAAGACGCTTCAAAGAAACAATCTGTTGTGGTGTTCACTCCACCGGGACAATTGCAGATAAATGAATTGTAGTCTCCACCATATCCGCAAGCTCCATTACTCTTCTCGCAGTTGGCACAAGTGCCTGGATAGTCGTTATACACATTAAATTTATATTTAAGTGCTATCCCGTACTTCCAATTTTCAGGGTTAAATTCCTGCCCGCTGAAGCTATAGAACCCAGAATACGAAGAGCAGTGCAACTTCTGCAAATCCATGTCAAATGAAGGCCCAAGATCAACCGGTGCATAAACACAACATGTAGAGATAGGGAGGTTGAGCGTGCTAATTGCTCTACAAGAATACAAATAACTGCAAATGGCTGCCCCTTTTTTGTCACATAAAGGGACTGCTGCCGTGCTGTTATCACCATTGTATGTGTTTGATCTGTAGATTGGTGAGGAAGTGATTGAACAGTCAAGTAGAGTAAAGACATTATCATCATGGAAACTGAAGGGAGCGTTCCAGTCAAGGCCAAAGCCTTTACTTGGTTGTGTACAAGCACAAGTTGACATGGAAGGATCGGTTAAGTATATGACTTGATTCGTGTAGTCTATATCGGTGATGGGGTAGCAGCCGGTGTGTGTGGTCAAGGTGAGTTTTTGATCATTGCAAGTTAGGAATTGTTGGAAACGTGGGTCACCACAGTCAGGGCCAGAGCCAAATGGATACTTGATTGGTGTTTTGCCACAGCTTCTCTGGCAAGTTTGTGATGACACTAAAGAAGGAAGATAGCGGACTAAAGAGATGAGGAAGAATAGAGTAATTCCAGGAAAACTTAGCTTCATTTTGCAGCAAATTAAGAAGAGAGTTGGTGTATGTATGAGTAAGAGAGAGTTGAGATGTGAAGTGAGGAAGTGAGATGTGGAATGTGGTATTTGTTCATATTTTATATGGGGGTTTAGCTTACTTAACGGGGTTCAAGTAGCATGTGCTTTTTCAATACATTTGTTAAGGGATAAGGGAAAGAAAGCCATTTCTCTTTTCTTATTTTCTTCTGTTAGTTTAATTAGTAAGATTCAAGAGAGGGTGAAAGATAAAACATTTTCACTTTACACTATTTCAATTAAACATTCCTATCTCCTTGTATGTATTAATTTCTCCTCTACCCCTTTTCTTTTCTCGAAGGTTTTCTTCTCCCTTATTTTGCTCTTACCAGTAAAAAGTATTGGTACCATTGCCTTTTGTTTTTGTTACTTTCGGTGTTATGGTGGCTAGCTTTTGGTTTCTATGCTTTTCGCTATTATTAGATGCCTTGTTTTCAGCATTTTGCTTAGCTTGATGAGTATATGATTTGACTTCCACTACTAAAGAATTCATTTGGTGATCCAAGAAGTGGTGAACAATAAAAGAGAAGAAAGTTTCAACAGTTTCCGTATCGATTCTTGTCTGTGTATTACATGATCATCTTTTTTCTTTACTGAGGAAAGCAAAATGACTTCCTTTCTCTCTCGAAAGTAAACCACTTGAGATTTCTTGGTACTTGGCATACAAGTTTTCATCCCATCCGAAAGCAACAAAATAATTTAACTCAGCTGTACATGTAAATCATAGCAATCAAATTATTAAACAAACGAGAATCTCAAGATTTTCCATGAAGGGCTCTCAGTCTCAATATGCTTCATGTGCTGCGCCTAACTAAGAGACTGTTCTCCGCATGGATGAGTTAGCTGAATGATTAATTTATGTAATTATGTGAATTAAGTATTGGACTTTAAACTAACTAGATCTTATGAGTGTAGTTCAATTTCTATAAGGCTGATCTGACACTGGTTACAACAGTACCAAGCTCTACATCATTGACCCTTTGATTAGTTTAATATCGGAATCACATGAATGCAAATATTCTTTAATCATTATAACCAGACTGAATTCAGTCGGTTTTCTGTCTCTGGTTTAGCTATATATACAGTTCTATTGGACCCCAGAAATTGAATTCCGAATTCAGAACATGATTTGAGTGGTCGGTGCATGAAAAAACAACTTGAAGATTTTCATGCCACTGTGCATTAATAATTTGTTTTTAAATAGATGATCTCCTTGTATCAAGAAGATACCCTTTACCTAATCCTCCACCAGCTGGAAACAAGGGCAGCCATTGAAGATGGGTGTGAAAGTTCACCATTTTAGTAATATATCTGTTTTTATGATTGCCCCCTTGTTCCGGGTCCTCAGGCAAGGCAAAAGAGTTTTTTTAATAACACAGGTAGTGAAAGTGAAAGTTCACTGCTGTTCAGATAATGTTCACAGAAAGTGTAATTTAATAAAACAAATTCGGTGTAAAATAGGCAGAAATAATGAGAACCGCTTGTTGATCTGGGGGAGGGGGGCTAATCTGAATTTATGCGATTCTTAGTGAGGGTGAGATAAGTACAGCTGGATGCAATCTCTATATAGAAGATCTGTATCGATACAAAAGAATGCTTTGCTTTGTTGTAGTGGTGATAATCTTTTCTTATCAAATTCTTTCACTATTCATCAATTATATGTTGGTGGGTAGAGTAACAGTTAGCTTCTTTTTGTTTATTTATAAACTTGTACATAATTTAAGCATCCATTGAATTGAAATGCTGAATGTTTCCACTACCTGTAGCTGTATGGGTATGGCCCATACAAAAAGCAGAAGATTCAAGGGATTTATGCTCTAATTATACATGCCCATTGATTGGCCTGATAGGATTGAACAAACGATTTGGAAATAGAAAAAGCAAGGGAATAATAACAAAAGGAAGATAAAATTGGAGTCTATTGCAATTGGGGTAAATTTACAAGAAAATAAGGTTTACTGGGCAAAGTCCAAATACAAGAAGGAAGAAAGAATCTCTTGACGTTACAAGAAAAGTGTAGACATTGCATTGGTCAGAATAGAATGTAAATTAGTGGAGCGTAGGGTCCTTGGCCCAGCCCGTTACGGGTATGAATGGCAATGGACCGGGCCACGACCGGATACCCCTTGGCCCAGGCCCAAGCCCGACCTCATGACATAGGCCCAAGTCCAGCCCGAGCCCGTTACGGGTATGATAGGCAAAGCCCAAGCCCGGCCTGACGGGTTTTTTATAAATGCAGGCCTGGCCCAAGCCCGCATTTTTTAATAATGTTTATTTTTAAATATTAATAAATTTCAATTTTTTTTTTATATTTTTAATTTTAGAAATAGTTTTTAAATATTAATTGAAGCTATTTCCGCAAATAATTTAAGCAATAAGTGAGAAATTAAAACTCCATAATATTTTATTATACTAACTTTTCATCTGTGCATAATATGTTGTGGTGAAATCCGCTTTTATAAGTTGAACCAAACCCATCTAACTCATTTAAAGGTAATTTTAACATGTTAAACTTTCAATATATGATGAAAATTGAGGTTAGGGTTTGGGAAAAATGGATATATATATATATATATGTAGAATAATATTGTAATTAAATATATAGTATAAGGGTAAATTAGTAAAATTAATATTAAAATTTTTGGGGACGGGCCGGGCCTAAAGATATACCCATGCCCAGCCCGTACCTGAGATCCGGCCTTAAAATCAAGCCCAAGCCCGTCAACCTCGGGTAAAGCCTACCCTTTTCGGGTTGAACCAGGCCGGGTACCCGAAAATGTCGGGCCCATTGCCAACTCTACGTAAGGAAAGGATGAGTAACCAAGGGTCGGTCATGAAGTTTTTGTTACCTTTATTAACTTTCTACGTTCAAACCACCTTGAGATCATTTATTATATTTGTGATTTATCTTGGAACAATAAGTTTGTATAATGTTCAATGAGTTTTAAAGATTAGTTAAAGTGCGTGTAAGCTAGTTCGGACACCTCAACTCCCTTTTAAGTCAAAAAAATTAAAAACTGAATAATGTTTCTCTTAAAACAGTAATTTTCAATTTAAACAAAAGAATTTTAACATAAGAAAATAATCAGCAACAAATTATGGACATATTTAAGACAAGCTTCTCGAGATTAGTTAAATAAGTTTTATTGGTTTTATTGATGATAAAATATTATGTTTTTCAACTTTTTTTTTTTTTTTTGACAAATATGTTGAACAGTTTTCATTTTTCACATTTTCATATATTGTTTTTAGACGCATACCGAACACATTTTTATTTTATATGTTTTCCAATCATTTTCAATATTCTCAAAAAAAACAGAAAACAAAGACGTATAATATAAAAGAATACACCTTAACTATTGGAAATTTTCCTAAAAGGATGTCATTCTCCTTCTTTCATATAATTTTCTAATTTTTTTTTTTTTTTTTTTCTAGAATTCTCTTAAACTTTCTCTAGGGAAGTAATTTTTAGCCCCCATCAAATTGATTAATATTCATAAACTTCTATTATATTTAATATATAAAATATGAACCTCATTTAATGCCGAAAATAGTCCTGCTTTTAATTAAGGTTTTTGTTTGCACATTCTTTTTTCCAATTTCAAATTTATTAGGGTTTTGGTTTACACTACTTTCCCCAATTTCTTAATTAGGTTTTTTATTTATACCCTTTTCCCATTTTCAATTTAAACTTACTTTTTCTATATAGCTTTAGCAATATGTTTTCATCAAATAAAGAAATATTCAAAATAAAAAAAAAGTTTTAATGATTTAAAAGGGTTAGAGTTAGGATCTATGTAATAAATAAAGGTTAAAAATTAAAGCAGAAATACTAAATAGAGTATATATATACATTTAGAAATTATTATGTCAATCATTTTCATTAAAATTAATTTGTCCAAATAAAATAACGTTTAAAAGAGCGCTTAAAAATCACTTCCCGTTTTTTATTTAACTTTTCTTAAACCATACACCATTTGTAAGACTAATTGAGTTGAAGTCCAAACTCCAAAAGTATAAGCCCATAGACGAATTTAAGCGCATAAAATGTGCCAGTAACCGTTGATGGGGTGGGTTGGGATGGGCCAAGTTTAAATTGAGTGAAACATAAGAAGAACCCATCGGTGTTCCACAAAGCACAAACGGCTGAGTGGGCAGGAGCCGAAGTGAAAGCAGTGTGCATCATTTTACGAAAACTAAAACCTCCCTTGTAGCCATCGATTAATTTCAAGGTATCACTTTTGCCATTTCTCATTTGATTGGTTTTCCTTATGTCCTTCATTTCATTTCATTTCAGGTTTCTGTATTTTTTTAATTGAAATTTAGCATTTTAAATTTTAGTTTCATGTACAGGACAGAGTCTGTAAACAATATAAGCTTTGTTTATTGATTTGTTTTTGAAAATTTTTGTGGAGGATAATTAGTTTACTACTAAGCATGTCTTAATACTCTTTATTATTCGCAATGCAAATGTGTACAGTAAATATTGGAAGCTATGCAGGTTGTGTTTGATAAAATGCCTCTTAGAAAAATAATTGAGAGGGAAGGTATTTGATAGAAAGGGTAGTAAGATGTAAACCTTTTCAAATGTTGGAACCCTTGAATGATTTTTTCTTTTGCGGAGAATGATGCTTTGATAGATTATACTCTTTTTTTTTTTTTTTTTTTTTTGGTTACAGAAAGCATATTATATCATTGACAAAAGAGATCAAAAAGTATACATGAAGTGAACTAGCTTTGATTATTATAATAAAAAGACAGGTAATATGGAATGTCAGAGTGGTTGATGTTACGTTAACCTCATAGAACACTAACTGAACTGAAGGTGGTTGATGTTATAATAACAAAATTCATGAAGTTTATATGAAGTGGTTTTAATATTGATGTTCTTTATCTTGTTTGGTTCAGGTTTGAATTGCTTAAAGAATAATTTTGTTCTCCCATTCATAAGTTCATGGTCGGGTTATAATCAGCATTGAAAATCTAGATGGTTTCTTATATGTTGAAATCAATGGTCAAAGCTATACAGTTAGGAACTTAATTCCTGTTAAGTGTTGATGGCAGATACCCTTATTTTATTAGCATAGGCCATAGAAAAGGCATTAATCCATTAAATTCTCAATTGGTAATTATATCAGATAAGTAGAGACAGATTGTCTGGAAGCTTTGAAATTATGACTTTAAGATGTTCAACCTTTAAAATCTTTAACTGACTTCAGTTGAGAACAAAAGTTTAAGATTAAGTTGCAATTTCCAGTAAATTTCATATGTTCCATGTTTTATGAATTGAATGCTTTGACATTGATACTTTATAGGTCATGGACTGATGAGGAAGTCTCTTTCTTTTAATGCTTCCAAATGGAGGGGAGTCACTGCATATTCACATACAGATTCTCTCAATTTCTTATGATGGGCTTCTCTCATAGATATGAAGAGGTGTGCCATCTCTTCCTTTAGCCCTTTTTTGAAACTAACTTATCATCCTGAAGGAATTACTTCAAGTTGTTTGCAATTCTCTTTCTTTAGAAGATGTTTGAGCCAAAGGTTATCTGCCTCTGGCTCACCAAACACTAGACCTTTACCAGATTATTCCCCAAAGAAACCCACCATCAGAGATGCTGAATTTGTCCATCAGATTTCTACTGCTGTAAAGTTGCGCCGCTTTGAGCCTCTTCGACGCATTTTAAAGCCTTACGAATCCAAGTTCAGACCTGACCATGTTATTTGGGTTCTTATGAACATTAGGAGTGATTACAAACTGGTTTTGGATTTCTTTGATTGGGCATGCCTACGCAAAGACCCTAACCTAGAAGTTCGTTGTATCGTTATTCAACTCGCTGTAGCTTCGAAAGATCTGAAAACAGCTCATTGGCTTATTCATGAATTTTGGGCAAAACCCAATTTGGATGTTAGTCTTTCATTCACCCATTTTGTTGAGCGTTTAATTTATACTTACAAGGACTGGGGTTCAAATCCCCATGTGTTTGATGTTTTCTTCCAAGTCCTTGTTGAAGTCAGATTATTAAATGAGGCAAGAAAACTTTTTGACAAAATGTTGAATTATGGGTTGGCTATCTCCATCGGTTCATGTAACTTATACCTTGCTCGTCTATCAGACAGTTATGATGGGCTTGGGGTGGCAATCAGGATTTTTAGTGAATTCCCTGAAGTGGGTGTTTGTTGGAATACTTCTTCTTACAATATTATCATTCATTGTCTTTGCCGATTAGGGAAAATAAAAGAAGCACACATTTTACTCTTGAAAATGGAGTTAAAGGGGTGCCTTCCTGATGTCATAAGTTATAGTACTGTAATCAACGGATACTGTCATCTTGGTGAACTACAAAGGGTATTGAAACTCACAGAGGAAATGCAAATAAAAGGATTGAAGCCAAACAAATATACCTACAATAGCATAATTTTTCTTCTATGTAAGTCTGGTAAATTAGTGGAAGCAGAGACTGTGTTGAGAGAGATGATGAACCAGGGAATAGTTCCCGATAATGTGATTTATACAACTCTCATTGATGGTTTCTGTAAGTTAGGGAATGTTGCAGCTGCCTGTAAGGTGTTTGACGAAATGCAGGGTCTGAAAATAATTCCTGATTTATTAGCATATACTGCTATTATTTGTGGGTTTTGTCAAATTGGGAAGATGATGGAAGCAGATAAACTCTTCCATGAATTGCTTGACAGAGGGTTGGAACCTGATGAAGTTACATATACAGCACTTATTGATGGTTATTGCAAAGCAGGTGATATCAAAAAGGCATTTTCTATACACAACCATATGGTTCAGGTGGGACTAACCCCAAATATCGTCACATACACTGCTCTGGTTGATGGCCTCTGTAAACAAGGAGAGGTAGATACCGCAAACGAGCTTCTTCATGAGATGTGCAGAAAGGGCCTTCAACTGAATATCTGCACTTACAATGCAATTGTTAATGGTCTTTGTAAAGCAGGAAATATTGTGCAAGCTATAAAGCTAGTGGAAGATATGAAAGTTGTGGGGTTGCATCCTGATACTATTACATATACTACTCTAATGGATGCTTATTGTAAGAGAGGGGAGATGGTTAAGTCTCATGAGCTCCTGCGGGAGATGCTGGATAAAGGGCTTCAACCTACTGTTGTTACATTTAATGTGCTGATGAATGGTTTCTGTATAGCTGGAATGCTTGAAGATGGTGAGAGGCTATTAAAATGGATGTTGGAGAAGGGTATAATGCCGAATGCAACCACCTACAATGCTCTGATGAAACAATACTGCATTAGGAATAATATGCGTGTCACAACTGCAATTTACAAAGATATGTGTGCTCAAGGAATCAGTCCAGATAGCAACACCTATAACATTTTAGTTAGAGGGCATTCTAAAGCAAGAAATATGAAAGAGGCGTGGTTTTTGCATAGAGAAATGGTAGACAAGGGATTTAATCTCTCAACTACGGCCTACAGTGCTTTAATCAAGGGCTTTCTTAAGAGGAAGAAATTTTTGGAGGCAAGGGAACTATTTGAAGAAATGAGAAGGAGAGGGTTGGTGGCTGATAGAGAAATTTACAACTCTTTTGTTGATATAAATTTTGAAGAGGGGCACATGGAAACCACTCTTGAGCTTTGTGATGAAGCAATTGAATGGTTTCTTGTGAATATGCCAAGTAAAGAAAACAAATAGATGGATATTGTTTTCTGCTGTGTGAACTACTGTGGAGTGTATGCCAATCTTGGTTCACAAAGGCTTGTATGATCCCATGACATTCACCGGATCTTGGAATCAAGGTATAGATTTTACTTTCAGCTTCTATAGTCCTTAGTAGGTTTTTGATAGGACAGTCATTTTTCCAAGTTGTCAGTATGTGCTAGCTGTTTGAATATTGAGGTTTCTAATTTGTGAATCCATGATATTGATGTGAGTCCTATGATTGTCACCACAACTTAGGGATCAGGGAGAGGAATAATTTGTTATTACGATTCAATTTTGGGCTGACCTTAACCTGAATTTGCTTGACTTTAGGTTGAGGTGTAGTGCAAACCAACCAATAATCAACTCGATTATAACACATGCTCAGACACACACTTTACTGACCCACTAACAACTTAGTTTTAAGCTTCAATATAGTAAGTCCTTCCTCCTACATGATCTTTTGCTCAAATGATGGTGCTGTTATGTTTTTCCTTAATTAATGTTGAATGAAGGGGGTATCAGGCAGCTGATGGGTTTGACTTACACGCGGCTTTCAAATTCAAATTTTAGTTTTTTGGTTTCATTGTCTATTAAAGCTTTCTACTATCCAGGTGATCAACAGGCATGTGACACAGCTGTCCGCATTCGACATGGATTGCAGGATAAACGATGCTGATGTACAAAACTAGCTGATCGTGGTGATTCTCTTAATAACTTTTTTTTTCTTTTCTTGTATGATACATCATTTTCTAGATGAGATATAAAGTTATCTCATATAATTATTATTTGTTGCAACTTCAGTGGTAAGTATCAACGAATTAACTTGAATTGATGCAGCAACTTCAGTGGTAAGTGTCAAATTTTCTGGCGAACTTCAAAGAGCTTGGTGCCAAATTAGATGAAGAATAGTCGATGGCATATGGCTTGAAGAAAGCAAAATATATGTCAAGGCGTTACCAGAGTAAAATTGATGTACAGCAATGCCAGAGCAAATTATATCGACCTAGTTGATTGGGACCAGATGTAGTGGGAGAATGATTGACAGTTGAAACCACCTTACATGAATAATTACTGATTTTGAACTCCAGTGGATCAAATATGAGACTAGTGTATTACACTATTTTTTCAGTGTTGTAATAAGGGTTTACTCGATCTCCATCTAAGGAAATAAATTCCCCTATAAATTCATGTATGATATATTGCTTGGTCTTTATAATTTAAAAACATGATGGATTTGTAATTGGAGATGATCGTAGTTTTATTGCAGGAAAGGAAATGTGAGAGTAGTTATATCTGGAAACTTGAAGCAGTCATATATATTTGGTAGGGTCTATGAAGCTATCATCGACAATGTTTTCTTTCATAAAATCTTGTTCAGCATTCAACAATTTAACCAACTAAATCTGGAAAAGATACATTACACGCCTCCATATAATATAATTTCCAGGAAAAGCAACAGCGAAGAAAAGCAGAGCATCAACTTCTTATGTGTGTAGGTGACCCCGTTTCTATACGAAGATGATGAAGAAGTTTGAGTAGAAAAAATCGTCATAGTTTCCTTGGGACAAGTAAAATTACAGCGACTTGGTCGAACCACTCTGTAAACCCCACTGCTGGCCAGGACATGTATATCTTTCTTATTATCCTCTCCAAATGAGTAAATGTAGCCTAAACCTGGCGGAGAACTTTCCGCTAAAAAATTGCACTGAATTGGAGAGTCGTGAGGACAACTGAAGGGAACTAATCTAGTTGTGAAGTTCCCACTATTTGGTGGGTTTTCAGTAGCTGCCCAGATGGAACTACCATACAAATCTCCGTACAAGTAACTGAAAGTACACAAACTGGAGACTGTTTGCAGTTCTTCACACATTTTCAGAAAAAAATTAGAGAAAGTGTTGGGTTTGTTTACCTGCCATACAAGCATGGATCAGTCATGGATCTATAGAAATATCCGCCACATATTGAGGCGGATATACTGTTGAGATCAGAGTGCTTGTATCCGAGTACAGGGAAGATTAGATTCCTGGAGTTGGCAGAATTGTTGATTCCTGCAAAAGGGTTTGAAGAATTAAAGAGAATGGGGCCTTCATAAACATGCCACCCATAGTTACCACCCTTAGTGATAATATCCACCTCCTCGTATTCATCCTGTAAGGCACATTTTTGACGATAATCAATAACAGTTTGGTGAAATCAATACAATACATTTCAGTTGATTAAATAACTGAAAGGAATGTTTTCTTTGAACCTGTCCAGCATCTGCACAGATGAAATAAAGTGGCCTTTGTGAATCGAAGCTACAACGCCAAGGATTTCTCAGGCCTAGAGCCCAAATTTCAGGCCGTGACTCCTTATCTTCAGAAAAAGGATTATCTTGAGGAACTGAATAGTTTCCCCATAGAGTAGCTATATCTGTTTCACCTGTATGTAAACATCACGGCAAAATTGGCAAATGAATGGTTGAAGAAAAATGTAACACTAGCAAATTAACTGTTTCAATTTGCTTTGCAGACGTAGATTTGTACTGAAAGTAACATAAAAATCATAATGGAACTGACGTAGATTATTACTTTAATCACGAATGTAAACGAAGATCCTTAAATGTTTAGTAAAAAGATTGCTCACTTGGTATGTTATCAACATCGAGCCTCAAAATCTTCCCAAGTAAGGATTTTTTGTTCTGGGAGAAACTAAAGGGATCGCCTCTGATTCCACCATCTCCCAACATCACATATAGATACCCATCTGCTGGTCCAAATAGAAGCTGGCCCCCATTATTGAATGCAACAGGAAGGCCTAATGAAAAGATCCTTCTGACTTCTAATGGTTCGGCTCTTTTTGCCTGGAAATTGATCAGTCATCAATGTGTTTTTCAGTCAAATCCATGAGTAAAATATCTTGCCTGGAAAAAAACCTGAAAGAGGGTAGGTCTCTACCAAGGAAAGTTCTGAAGCAGTGCCATTAGCAGTGAACTCTGCAATGACTTTGTGATACCGGCATGATTGAGTGGAATCCGAAGAACCTAGCTTTGATGGATCACACCTCTCATCCAAGTTGCATGAACACCTTCCATAACATCCTGGTGTCTTGACCTTATCACAAGTGAATGATGCAAAGAAGCGGCCATTATGAGCAAAGCTGGGATGAAAAGCCATTCCCATCATCCCAAAGCTATTAACAAAATAAACTTCCTCTGTCAAATCTATGAAGGGACTGGACTCATCAATTCCTAGAATTCCACCCAAGCCCTGTTCGGGAATAGTGGCTAACCAAATTTTGCCTGCTTGACTAGCAAAGAAGGCACGGTTGGACCCATCAGGATGGGCAGCCATGGTAAGGTATGATCCGTTGCCAATTTTTTCAAGGCACAAGCCCTTGGGGGGAAATGGATTTTCACCCTTGTTAAGCGTAGCTTTTTCACCATCAAAACAAATTGATCCATCATCAGAAGAACCACCATATTTGTTACAGAAATTACTTTCTGAATGCCAGAGTTCAGTTAATTTGACAGAAGAGCTTTGCAATGATGCAGCAAAGGGGGAATTTGACATGGATACATTTTGGCATGCATCCCAGACTAATGAACAAAAACTACTTGCTTCCATGTTTGACAAAAATGATTTTACAGATTTAGAGGAGTTACAAAGAACAGGAACTGGTCTAGTAACCAATTCCGATTCAACCTTAAACAATTCTGCTGAGAACTGATCGCAAGCCTGCAAATGATGAACATTAGTGCTTTATATGAGGCTGAATTCTATATTGCTCAATCATGTAGTACAAATTAGTAATACGTGTGTAGGTTGTGAAAAACGACGATCTGAATATGTCACAAGTGTCAACTGGCCTCAAAATTACATTGGGAGTCAGTAGTGGAAATGGCTGAAAACTGACAAGGAAAATTTTCAGCCTGAGGACAACAAAATTTCAGCATTTTGATGCGAATATAATATAAACAAATCACTCTTTATGTTATTTTGATATAAACTTGGACTTATATCAATTGCAGTAGCAGTAAACATGCCAATAATGGTGAAGAAAATGTATGAAAAAGCTATGTTTTCAAAATAATGATAATTTAAGAAGGCCTTACCGCACAGAGGATTGATTTCATAAGAGAAGCACAGACAGGATCAGAGATATGCATTTCAAGAAATTGTTTATGCAATTGCAAATCTTTGGCTGAGTCACAACAACCAGTCGCATTGTAATGAGAACAAAACGTTGGCAGTGTCTTTGGGGTGAAAGGCTCTCCTACAAAAACAAGTAAAAAGCATCAGTAATCTGAAAGCTTGAACAAATAAAGGCTGGGAGAGAGAGAGAATTGCAATAAGTTTACTTAAGTCAGTGCACAAACGAAGTGATGATGTGAAGCTAAAAGACAGAAGTAAGTCGAAAAACAGAAGGAAAATAGAAAAACAAGCAGCCATCTTTCTCTTGACAACTAACAAGAAGATAGCAACAACATTAAAGAAGCAAAATGAACAATCAAAACTTAGTTTTAACTCCTCAATTACAATTCAAGGTGAACTTAAATATAGCCTACAGAATCTGATGCTGTACGTACCATTCATTCGGGCAGACGAAATATTAAAATGAAAACAAAAAGTAGTCACCATTCTGGTGACAAGTTATGTAACTTTTCAAGTACATGACTGCCAGGAACTGAATAGAGAAAGCAATGACTTTTATGAAGTATGATGAGATAGAATTTATACCCAAATGATTCAATATAGGGAATATGTACCATGCCCACATGGCCACATTGCTTGGCCTTCTTTGTTAGTTGGGTTTTCTTTATTATTTTCTATTCTTATCGCTAATGAAAACCAGCATCATCAGTTCAAAAATGAGTACGCGAAATGGAAGGCAAAGATAGATTATTGATATACATAAATAAAGAGGGAGGGCTACATGCCAAATTGTGTAAGATTTCTTCATTAATTTACATGGACGTGTGTTAAAGGCCTGTGATTGATTAAAGAATCTATATCTATATATTTATATAATGTTGAAGCAGACTGCTTCTTCTGATGCCACATAGGATTGATATATGATCGCCATGTACGATATCGTTAATTGGTCCACGTGTTTACTGTTTATTGAACTTGCTATAATAGGGATTATTCATATGCATTCAATTAATGTATTTAATACAAATCTTTCACATTCTTCTTTTAATTTGATAAATTACTAATGATTCGCTTGTGTGTTATTGATTTTCATAAATATTAAGAGATTATTATAATAGAAATTATTCATATGCATTCAATTAATATATTCAATACAAATCTTTCACATTCCTCTTTTAATTTAAGATCTTTCACATTCCCCTTTTAATTTGATAAAGATATAACATATCTTTTCATATTCGTGAAATTCAAAAAAACACTTTATTAATCCATTAATATTCAACGTTCATTCATGCATATTAATTATTATTATTAATTAATATTAATATTTTTGTACCCTTTCACATTCAATTAATTATTATTAATATTAATATATCTTTACCCCTTCACATTCAATTAAACAAAAATATCAAACATAATAACGAAAAATGTTTTTTTATAAAACGTATTATCATTTAACATTTAATATAAATCTGAAAATTTTAAACTCGTCCAATAACAATAAAACATTTAAATCAAAATAACCATAACCAATAACATGCAAACACTTACTAAAAAATATCAAAAGTCATATTAATTAGCAATAATCCAATTACATTGAATATAACACGAACAGTTGTTGTAATCATTAATTATCATATAATATTACTTAATGACATCTAAAGCTATATAAGAGTAGAGAATTCAACAATCCATAACCTGCAAATCTTTCTTTCATTTCACTAACAAATGAAAGCAAAACCAACTATTGTCAATCCAAATCCAAACAAACAGAAGTGTGCGGTAAATAACCCAACTGATTACTCTTATATTCCTTCTACATATCCACTTTTACATGTCCATTTTTTTATTTAGCAGTCAAGCAGTAACGTCAGATGTTCGCCTGAACTGGAAGGTATTCTACAAAACCTTAAAGTCACGCTGGCACAACTCAATACTGCTAGAGTGATGAACAAAGATATAATGAATGCTTTGTGTAGAATAACAGGCTCAACCATACATGTATATTCGATTTGCAGAAATGTGAATCCCTGATTATTGCCAAAGAAAAGGAACTTGGTATTCCTCAAGGAAAAAATAGCACTATATATATAAACAGTTCTATTATCAATAAAATCGATAAAAGATTCATAGTATATTGTTCCCACTGAATGATGATACCAAAGCTAATATAAATACCGTTTATTCTATGTTAACGCATAATTCTACATTACTATTTTACACCTTTAATCCATTTCTTAAAGATTCCATTTCATTGTATAACTAATAGTTGGATTTAAATTTTAAAAGTTTTTTAATTAAGTAGTGAATAAGTTTCTCAACTTGAACTTATTCTATATTTGTTGAATGATTCATTTCTTTGTATAATTCAATGACTTAGATTTAAATATTGTTTTTTTTATATGTTCCTAAATGACATAAGAACTAAACGTCTACAGTTGTTTTTGTTCTCAAAATGATCCAAAATTGTCTTTTTGCAGATTGGCTTATGGCGATATGTGGATTGGTTCCAGTCCGGTTTGGAGGGTTTTGAGAGATGGAATTTAAATGGAATTTGTCAACAATGCTGATTAGTAGGCAGTTTGTGGGAAGTCAAAGTCATGTGTTATGTTTCAGAGAAGAAGTTTTGGAGTTTAGTGCCTTCGAGGAAGGTTGTTTCTCGAGTTGAATCTGAGGTTGTTTCTATGGAGGAAAGAGTCAAGTCATGTTATGAGGTTCAAGATGTCTGATTTCAAGATTCTTGATCGTGTTAGCTTGGCCTTGCTGGGCGGTATGTTTGTGTGAAGAATTCAATGTTTGTTGGAAATTTGATGGCGATTTTTTGATTGTTTTTGTGATTTAATTGAATTGGGATTTTCTGTAGGTTGATGAGGTTGTTTTTGAAGCCATTATGAATGATTCTAACAGGTTTCATTTCTTTTTTGTTTCTTCTCATTATTTTCTTATGATATGTTGAACTAAGGCGTGAACTTATGATGTTTGTATTGTGAGATTGCAACCCTTTGTATACCAAGAGTTGTGCTAGAAAACTAGATGAAACGTAAGATCAATGAAGAGTGAGTAACTTCTATTGCTACTGGTAGTGCTTTTGGAACCAGCATGATTATTGGTGATGGCATTCTAACTCCGTCAATGTCTAGTATTATTTCTTTCATACATTACATATATTTTCTATGTGAAGTTATAGATTGATTATGGTACACAGCATAATGGTATGGTTTTGTCCATAGATCTCCATCAAATTGGATATGATATGTTTTAGCTACTGCACAATTTATTAGCTTCCAAGAATTACACAACTTTCTCTTACTTTGTCACATTTAATGCATATACAGTATGTGTTTATGTGTGTGTAAGTTCAATTAAAGAGTGAGTAACTTCTATTGCTACTGGTAGTGCTTTTGGGAACCAGCATGGTTATTGGTGATGGCATTCTAACTCCATCAATGTCTAGTATTATTTCTTTCATACATTACATATATTTTCCATGTGAAGTTATAGATTGATTATGGTACACAGCATAATGGTATGGTTTTGTCCATAGATTTCCATCAAATTGGATATGATATGTTTTAGCTACTACACAATGTATTAGCTTCCAAGAATTGCACAACTTTCTCTTACTTTGTCACATTTAATGCATATACAGTATGTGTTTATGTGTGTGCATGTGCATGTGTGTGTGTGATGGGATAAATGAGTAACATCCTGTTAATTGTTTTTTTTTTTTTTTAATCATAAATGAACTTGATTACTTCTCAAACCCAGCAGCTAACATGATGGAAAGCAGAGACCATTTTCGAAAGGTAATCTTTTCTTTTATAGAGTAAAAAATTGATGATTTATGCGCCAACTTAGTGTAATCTTAAAAGCACTTACTCTTTAAGTTTTCTTAATGTCTAAATGCAGTTGAGATTTTTTTTTTCTTGGTGCTTTTATGCAATCAGACTAAATTTAGTAACCCATTATTTTCTTTGAGTATAAACTCAAACTTCTTGCAAAAAGAGTTTTTCAAATAGAAATTTTTAAGTTTTTAGTGAACTTTTGCGCAGAACTTAAGTTTGGATTAAAACATATGCAGATGTTTGACAAATTCTTGGATATTCATATTCATATTTGGCTAATTTGACTAACCTCTTGACTTGAGGATGAACTAAGCTCCAGCATCAAGCTCTTTAGAGAATCAATGATGCCTGTTTCATTATCAATTTTTGATATATTCATGGAGCTTGGAACTACAGTTCCCATCTTTCTCTCTGTGCTTGACTAAGAGTTGTTCCACCTATAACAATAACCTACACACCACCTGTTGAGCAACCAGAAGTGGTCATTCCAAGTGTAGCCAGCCATTACCCCACTCACAAGTGCTTACTTTAAACCATTGTTTGTTTATGAAATTTCATATTATTACTGATTTATTTCTGAACGTAAATTGATTCAGTTTTAATTCATTTATTATGCAGCCAACCTTTGGCAATGATGGTCATAGTGAGCATTGATGGGGGTGACATTCGGAATAATTTAATGAACACTTCTTTTTTGGCATAGACATAGTATGAACCATTTTAAAAAAAAAATATTGTCCATTTATTTTGTTTTTCTGTGTCTTATAAACAATGTTATATTGCAAAGTGTTTATCAATGAAGCATATTTTATTATCAAAAAGTTGTAAACTTATATTCTTAGATAGGTTATACAGGTTTTTGTTGTGGACTCTGTAGCCAGTAATAGTTTGTGTTTTGTGGCAACTCTTCTTTTGCTTTGAAAAGGGAATATATTCCTATCACTAAAATGTTCCAGTATTATGTAGTTCTTCAATTAAATTAATTTATTTGTGTCAAAACCACTTTCATAAGTTGCGGGACTTTCAACTTCTATGTATTGAATTCAATTAATTCAATTCCTACTGAATTACAAACTGACCATTTCAATCTTCCATCACTTGTATTTTATCAACTTAAAAGAGGAATGTGAAAGATCTGTATTACATACATTAATTGAATGCATGTGAATATCCCTATTTTATCAACATCAATAAGCAGCAAACACAAGGATTAATTAACGACATCCTAAATGACAATTATATAACGATTCTCATCAATTTTTAAACATAAAAGCCTGATTAAAAAAAAAAATAATAACAAAATGTTCCATTATAATCAATATTTGACATATTTTTTTTGTGAAATAATAATCATTTATAATTTCTTAAAATATAAAAATTTGATAATAAAATAAAAAACAACGCGTGCGTGCCATCTAGTATTAACAAGGCTGTGAAAGCCAATCTTCATTGCCTCTCCTTTCAACCCTGCCCTGGTTAAATAAACCAAAGCAATCTGTGTTTAACTTTATAAATTTATACTACTTAATTAAAAATTTAGAACGTTGCATGCATAATGAAGAAGCAGCACCAGTGGTCTAGTGGTAGAATAGTACCCTGCCACGGTACAGACCCGGGTTCGATTCCCGGCTGGTGCATTTTTCTTTTCCTTATTCTTTTTAAAAAATTAATGTATTGACAATTCTTTTTAAAAAAAATATGCCTATTAAAATGTGTAGAGAAATTGGAATTGTAGTAACACAGCCATATATATAACACCGGAACTAGTTTTTGAAAAAAAATGTCCTATATTAAGATAATAGAAACTATAAGGATCAAATATATTTTTCACTTTGGGTGTTATTGATTTTTCACATTTGTAAGTAGAATATTCTATTAGAAAACGGTGTCCAGGGGAGGTTGTTGAGGAAAGTTAATGCCTCAGACGTAAACCTCAGAGGAGCTACTTTATAATATACGCAAATTAAATATAATTTAGTTCTTTCTAACTAATTCTATTAGAAAACGGTATCCAGGGGAGGGTTTTTTTTTTTAGTAAACACCTATGTCAGTCTTTTTCAGTGAACACTTAAAAGGTTTTTAAAATGTTACCTAACCCTTGTGTGTTTGACCTTTTTATAAGAAGCATCGGCTAGTTTTAAACATGTAACTCCCTAAATTTAATCAATCTAACATCTAAAATCTGTTAACGATATTAAAAAGTTAATATATATTTTTGAGATTAAATTGGTGAAATTGTTTACAAATTTTAAGGTGGAATTGAAGATATTTTTGAAACATACACCTACTTCCTTGTATACAAATTTTAATTTGTCAACGTGGTTTAATGGTCTGGCGGGAACGTGGTTTTCCTGAAACCACAAATTTTGATATGTCTTCACTCTTTAGTCGGTTTCTACCAAAGCAAATCAATTCAGATCCAGAAGATTCGCGGAGCCAAAACAGCCTCTTCCAATTTCTGTTCATTAGCTTCCGACTTTCGAGAATCTAACTTGAATTTGTCAACGTCTACGGCAAGTCACATTAAATGTGAATTAATGACTACAACCGACCTCTCCCTCAATATTCTTCCAGTGTTCACACTCACCGTTGAATTCTTCCCACGCCTTGCTCCAACCTAACTCTTCACACCAAACTTTAAGCTCAGTAAAAGGAATGGTTCATATTCTTCCAAAATAACTTTACCTATTTTAATACAGGTCGATATATTTTAGCACCACCCTTTTAAGTATCATACGGAAACAACTGTCACCATTTATTCCACCTTGTATATATATATATATATATATATATATAGACATAGAGCTCCCATAAACAGAGCATAAGGACTATTATATTGAGGTTAAAGGCAATGGTGAAAAGTGACGTGAAGGTTTTGGGTGCATGGCCGAGCCCATTTGTGATGAGGGCAAGAATCGCCCTCAACATCAAATCTGTGGACTATGAGTTCTTGGAGGAGACACTTGGATCCAAAAGTGAACTTCTTCTCAAATCAAACCCAATTCATAAGAAAATTCCTGTTCTCATACATCAGGATAAACCTGTTTGTGAATCTCTCATTATTGTTCACTACGTCGATGAGGTTTGGTCCTCTGGTCCCTCCATTCTTCCTTCTGATCCCTACGATCGTGCCATCGCCCGATTTTGGGCCGCCTATCTTGATGAGAAGGTACCTACTTTTGGTTTGTTATTTTACTTTAGTTCTTTGTTTTGTTGTAAAAATTTAATGGGAAGTTCATATAAGAATGGTTAATGTATAATTTTTTGTCCAGTGGTTTCCTTCCATGAGAGGAATGGCGAGTGCCCAAGGAGAGGAAGCCAAAAAAGCTGCAGTTGACCAATTTGTGGAAGGTCTGAATTTGATGGAGGACGCTTATGTGAAGTTGAGCAAAGGGAAGCCTTTCTTTGGAGGGGACAAAATTGGGTACCTTGACATTGCATTCGGTTGTTTCCTGGCGTGGCTGAGAGTGACAGAGAAGACGAGTGGGATGAAGTTTCTTGATGAAGCCAGGACTCCTCATTTGGCCAAATGGGCTGTGAGCTTTTGCGCTGATCCTGCTGTGAAGGATGTCATGCCTGAAACTGAGAAGCTCGCTGAATTTGCTAAGCTTCTTGCCAAGTTCAAACCTGCCGCTCCAAAATAATTTCATTCTGAGATTAAATTATTGGAGAGGCTAGAACTAGTGATGGAAGTAAATTAGTTGTGTGCTCAAGAGAAATAATGTTGTTTTGACTTTCTTGAGAAATAATCTTAAAATTAAGTATGTATTGTGGAACTTACAAGTAATTTCTTTTGGTCACTTTTGTGTTTGGTTTCGGGGAAAACTCTCCTCTCCTCAAGACTCTCTCTTGGTTCCATTTAGAAAAGTTTAACGACATGAAACAGGCAGAGATTAGGAGCTCTAATCAAATGCAGATGCTTTTATTAGAGTTGGGACAGTTGGTTCATATGAATTAGTTTCTCATCAGTCTCTGATATTCTCCATTAATATGCGTACCAAATAATCCTTATCTAGTTAGTTTCTGAACTAGATGCTCATCAAGCAGACTTCGTATCCAATTGGGCACTTTTTTTTAGTGATTCTCTTGTTTAATCTTGTCCTCAATCTTGTAATTTGGTTTGTAGACAGTCACAGAAACTAAGACAAGCCAATGCCTATGTATATTCCACTATCAGAAAATTTATGGCATTGAATTATAAGGATTGGATTATCCGGAAAACAACCTCTGAGCGGCCCTTCCTACCCACCACTTAGCCAGTGTGGTAGCTGAACCCTGCTCATCAAATCCCAAATGTCCAAGATTTAAGAAAGCACGTAAAATATCGCATTGACCAACAGCTTGGATTGCATATTAAGTCATACAAGTTTGACTTGCAATAAAATCTTCCCAATCCTCTCCTTTATGTTAATTCAGTCGGCTTTTCTCGAGGTTGTTGCAGGATTAGAAAATCTCATCGTAAAGAGAAATAAATTGATGAAATCAAAGATATTTGACCAAAAGGGCGACAACCCAACCTCCCCTGAGGTTTAATTTAATATTCACAAGACCCCTTGAGTATTGAAAACCATGACTGAGCACCCCTCCTCACCCAAATGTCACTTGACGATAATGGATAGTGGATACAATGGAGCTCTATGAGGCATCTATTATAAGATAATTAATTTTGAGGATTCAAAGTTAGATGTGGTTTACATATTAATTAAACCTACTTTGACTATAAGGGTGAGCAGTTTCGGGTACCCTGTATTTTTCGGGGGAACTGGAACTGCACAGTATAGGTTCCCAAAAAAAGAAACTAGAATCGAAAATTCGGAATCACACAGTGTAGGTTCTTAAATTCAAGGAACCAAAACCTAAAATGCAGGTTCCGGTTCCTTTCCCGGGCACCTTATAAAAAATCAATTACCCCCTTATTAGTTTAAAAAATGACAAAAATACCTTAAAAGTTTACAAATTCACCCCTAACAAATTTTGTTTACTCATTCATTTGTGTCAAATGTGACTCATAAATCCTCTAATTTATAGGCAACACTTGAATTCAATCAATTCATCACAATTCACATAAAATTCCTCAATCAAATCCAAAACACAAACAATTAATTAAACAATCATAATATAAATCTATAATTTAATATTATAATTAATTAGATTTCTAATCATTTAATTAAGTATTGTACTAATGTTTAATAATTAATTAAATAATCATACTATAAATCTATAATGTAATGTTATAATTAATTAAATTTTTAACTATTTAATTAAGTAATGTAGTGATATAGTAAATTACTAATGTTTATAATGTAATGTTATAAATTTATAATTAATTAAGTAATCATTTAACTATGTAATGTTATAATTAATTAAGTGATTGTAATATAATGTAATTTCATAATTAATTAAGTAATTATTAAATTATAATGTAAAGTTTTAATTAATTAAATTTCTAATCATTTAATTTAGTATTGTACTAATGTTTATAACGAAATGTTATAATTAATTAAGTAATCATTTGTTTATAACGTAATGTTATAATTAATTAAGTAATCAATGTAATGTTATAGTTAATTAAATTTATGTTATAATTAATTAAATTTTTAATCATTTAATTAAATATTTTGTTAATGGAGTAAATTATTAATGTTTATAACATAATGTCATAATTAATTAAGTAATTATTTAATTATGTAATGTTATAATTAATTATGTGATCATACTATAATGTAATGTTATAATGTTATAATGAATTAAGTAATCATACTATAAATCTTTAATGTAATATTATAATTAATTAAATTTCTAATAATTTAATTAAGTATTGTACTAATGTTTATTATGGAATGCTATAATTAATTAAGTAATCATTTAACTATAATGTAATGTTATAATTGATTAAGTAATCATTTAACTAGTAATGTATTAACGTTTATCAATTTATCATATATAATTAATTAATTACTAATTTCCTACATATATACGTACTTAGAACTTGATAATTAAAGTAAATAACTAACTATTATATTATTATTCAATCAAATATACTATTTTATTCAAAAATAATTCTTTTAATAATATTAAAACACTTTTAATTGGTCCTAATTCTAATTATACATTTAATTAATCAAAACTTTAATATTAATATATTAAATTTTTGTATATGGAGTAGTTTATATGTAATAAGTATAATTGTATATTTATTTAATTAGGTTATTGTAAAAATTTAACTTTTTTCATTTTAATTTTTTTATATGTAAACTTATAATAGACCCCCCATTCTTCACAGATATTTTATTTCAGCATAGGTTCCAAGCCGAGTACCCGCTGTAGGTTCTGTTTTCCAGGTTCCGGTTTCGGTTCCTCCGCATGTAGGAACCAGAACCAGAATCGTACAGTGTCGGTTCCAAAAAAATGGAACTGGAACCTACCCGCACAGTGTCGGTTCTGGGTAGATTCCGATTCTACCCGCAAGTTTCGATTCTACCTACTACCTGTGCTCACCCCTAAGCATAAATTAAAATGAGTTCATGAAAAGTTTAACTTCACTTGTTATTTGTATCAATTGGCTTTAAAGTTTAAACTACCTTGTATGTCGCTAATTTGCTCCCTCCATGTGCTGTAATTGCCTAATTTGCCTTTTCCACACCGCTCCAGCATATATATATACACTAGGGCTGTTAACGAGCCGAGTATTTTGCTAAACGAGCTCGGCTTGTAAGGGGGGAAGTGTTAAACAAATTCAAGCTGAGCCAAGCCGAGCCGAGCCACAGATTGTTGGCTCGGCTCGAACTCGTTAAGGGATATAGGGCAATCGAGCTTAGCTCGCGAGCCGGTACTAAAACATCCAATTTTTTTTTTCGGACCAGACCTAGTTTTTTCATGGCATTCAATCAATTTTCTATCCTATACATTAAAACAACAACTAAATCTCTTTATAAATTAAACATAAAAAAAATGTTGGGGACATGCATGTATAGTATATTCCATTTTAATGCCACAAAGGCACAAAATATTTGACAAACACAAGTAAACCTGCATGTATTTGGCAAACAACTGAATCTCCACATGTGATCATTTCATCATACTATTTACAAAATACCATAGTCAATCTGTTTCAACAAATTAAGTGAAGTGAACTAAAGTTTTTATTTGGTTCACTTTACTTAATTCATCTTTCATCAGAACAAAAAGGGGACTATATACAAATTTAATCCCATAACATCAAAATATAATGTTTCATCAAAAAAATGGTTGTATGTTGGGCAGCTACATCCCAAAACCATTCTTGCCCTACTCCTGCAAAAAAATAAAATAAATAAATAAATAATCACTTAAGGACATAAGTACATAAAGATGAATATGTAAACCCAAACAAAAAATCAATTAAATCAAACCTGCACAATCTTGCTGCCACAACCAATGACATGTGGGAGAATCAAACAATCTAATGATTCCCGTCAATTGACGGGATATGAAGAATCTCCAAGTGGTCTTGCTCTTTTTGAAATGAAATAAGTAATAAAAATTAAGTTTACATTAATATAAAGTAACTGTAAATATTGAATTACACTAAAAATATAATCAATGGAACTTACTTTGCACCCTTTCTTTACTTCGTTCAAAGATCGACACCAATCACATCCACATAAGAGCATTTCCACCGTGTTCGGAGACAAAGATGCTCGATAACTGTCAATAACCATACTCCCAACACTGAATGCAGATTTTGAAGCAACCCTAATGATCAGATGGCTAGTATCTCACGAGTCATCATAGACAATATAGGGTGCTTGGTTGAATTTGTCTTCCACCATTGTAAAGCATCAAATGCCTCATGATCCCCCACGCACTTATGACACCCTTCTCAACAGTCTAGCTCAGACTTACTTGGCTCAACAGTTTCCACCACATCCAAAAAACTGCTAAAATATCTCAACTCGTGGCTCCCGGAGCTATTGCCTCCTCACCAACGGCTCCAACTCCATACCCCACTACTGGAGGCCCACGAGAAATAGCAGAAGCTTTATTAGCTTCAACATACTCTCCATATAGCTCATACAATGCATCCCGAACAGTTATAGTATTTGCACGAGCTTCTAACTCAGAATACATCTTGGAGAAGGCCCACTGAATTACCCTCATTTTCAATCGAGTATCCAATACAGCAACCATAGACATCAACACATTACATTCCCCCCAATATTTATTGAACTTTTGATTCATCTTCTTCACCATGTTTCTAATGAACTCATCTTCGTCTTCACTCTTACTATCCAACATCATTTTCACTAAACATACCTCCTTTAAAAAAAAATTAGATGTCGGATAATCACTCCCACTAATGAGATTGGTTGTACCACTAAAAACCTTTAAAATGTCACACACTTTCTCCACTTTCTCCCAATCCTCGTCCTGTGGACAGTAATAATAACTTGAATCCTTTTCTTTCAACCTGGGAAATACTTTTTTAAACTTAATTGTCGTTGCCAACATTTCATACATCGAATTCCATCTTGTTTTACAATGCAGAATAAGCTTCTGAAATGACAATTTAAGTTGTTGCACAATCTCAGTAAAAACCCTAATCCTACTCTCTAAAGCATTAATGTATAAGACGCTCTCATGGACATCGTCGATGATATGCCTAATCTGATAAAGTCCATCTTGA